CCAACGTTGTTCTTACTCTTCATGCGCCAGTTACCGTCGATCAAGCAAGGATTGGAGTACATTACATCATGCAACTGTCGAGTTAGAGAAGCAGTCGGACAATCACAAATCATGAAGAAGAAAATACATTGTCACAATTGCAAATGAGAAGGCAGTGGATGGGTGTGTGAAGTGTTTATTGGTATCTCATATCCATTAATTCATGGTACTATCGTGAACCCGGCGAGAGTCATAGTGCTCATCGCGTTAAAGTGGTATTGTTCTGAACCTTTTGACCGTTAGTGGCAATTTTGCTGAAGCTTGAAGTGAGACAACATACCGAAGTGAAATGTCGAACCAGTGATCTAGTGCAATGAAGCACTTAGATGGAGCGCTTGTTGGCCTCAGCGGAGCCCTCGTGCTTCTCCTGGGAGAGCTTGTCGCCAGCGGCGCCGAGAGCACCAGAGGCACGGTCGGTGATGCTGTCGTTGCCGGGGACGTTGCCCTTGGCCTGCTGCTTGTTGCTCTCCTTGGAAGCCTCAGCAGAGGTGCCCTGGACGGTCTCGGAGACGTAGTTGGCGGCGTTCTTGACGGAGTTGACGGCCTGGCCGACGATGCCCTCGTTGGGAGTGTTGGCGTTGGGAGCAGACATTTTGATGAGGTTGGTTGGGTTGGTTGGTTTGAGGAAGGTTGATTGTTTGTTTGAAAGTATTGGAAGGTAGTTGAAGGCTTGATGTGTGATGAAGAAGAGTTTGGAGGCCAGACAGAGGGGTATTTAAGCAGTATGGGGGGTAAACAAGGGCGACTAGTTGACAGTGACGTATGTTGGATGTTACGTCATAAGAAAGGAGCTGAGGGTGAGAGAGCAGTGGCGCTAGCCTCTCTGGGGAGTGAGGGCCCAGACCACGCAAGCGCGATGGCGCCAGCGGTCCGCAACCAGGGCATGCAATGAACAAACGCAAGGAACACGGTGACACTCTTTTTTGAAAATCCCGCTGTCGATCGTTGATTTCCATGCATATCGCGTCATGGGCGTTTGCGCGCGTGATGTCGCATTCATTGCGTGCCTGAAAGTAGCCCCTCCATGGCCCCTCCTCTGACGTCACACTAAACAAGCCAGTTTTGCAATGTACATGCCGCGGATACACGATTGGTTTCGGAAGATGAAAGCTTTTACTCTGCTGTCTTCGCCATCTGACAATGACAAGGCTTATCTGGACAACGAGCACGTAAGGGAAGGAAGACATTGCCACATTGACGGCTAGTACGTCATATACGGCAAACTTGACATGTGAATCTTTCTGCCTGATCTGAGGGAGTTTGAGCTTTGTGCATAGAGCACTGACCCCTTTGCTTTCCAGCCCAACAGAGCATTCTCTTCAGCATCAGCTAGCAAACCTTCTCACCACTGCATGACGCCTCTAACCGTTACCAGAGAGACACAAACCGGTTGTCCGTCTCCGCGTTTTGTCCATGGCTCATATCCACAGCTGGCCAAACTCACAAACTCACGAGACTGGTAGCGTATGCGGGGGTGTTCGGCGCTTGGCCATGTCGATATGAGCTCCTTGCAATGGCATTGGTGCCAGCAAACGTATTACAGGTACTCTAGCCCTTTGCTAGTGGTGTTTTCATCCCTCGGCCTGCCTTTTCCGGAAGTTTCAGTAGGTGGCAGTGAGCCCAACCTGTATACTTTTGCTCGGGTCGGCTGCTGCGGTCTGCATGCCGAGGTAGGTCCCAATGCGATTTGAAAAGGCTATAGCCGGCTTTCAACGATTCGTCCAATCAGTTTTGTCCAGGTCATGCCGTCTCTTGTGGGTGGAATGGTGTCAATGCTCGCGTGCCCGTCCAGATTTGTGCCCCGCCAAGATATGGGACAGCCGCCATCGTATCACGTGGCTGGCTCATCTTCGATGCATATCTACGCTTACGGTACTTGGACAAGGTGGTTTACTATTGCCTTAGTAGCATGCGGAGTTGACCATGGGTATTCATATCACACTGGAAGAGGATTGGGAATATATAACTGTGTGGGTGCCAAATGATGGAGCCAGTTTTGGTCAAGGAAATTAATTGCCGCCGTGAGCGGATTGTCTAATGCCTCTATGATATCAAAGTGCATACATGTGAATCTGATATAGTGGTAGGAATGGGAGGGATGATGACAGCGCCTGGTCCTGCAAGCTCGCTGCCATGGGTACCGTCTCTGGGTGGGTATCGTGTCAAAGAATGGTGCAGTGCGGACGGTGACCCCGGCGCTTGGGCTTTGCCCCATGTGTCCTACTTCTTTGGCCAGGTCTGGGTGAATCCGGTGGGGCCATGCGGGCGCGTTCGATTTGATCTTTGCGGATGATTTGCCTACAGAGGTCGACAAAGGCTTCGTCGACATTTGCTCTTCTTCGGGCACTAGTCTCGAAGTAGGGAATGTTCCATTCACGGGATATGGCAAAAGCTCGGGGGCGCGGTACTGCTCGGTCTTCTTCCAAGTCTGACTTGTTGCCAATGAGAACCATGGGAACGTTGCTGTCTTCTTTTATTCGTCGGATCTGTTCGCGCAACTCTGCGAGTTCCCAGAAAGATGATGCGGAAGTTATGCTGAAGACCAACAGAAAACCTTGGCCAGTTTTCATGTACAGTTCTCTGTGCATTGTAAGTAGGGAACGGACAAGGAAGAAGGTAGGAGCATGGGTTTTTACCTCATGGCAGCTATCAGGACATTAGTATCAAGTTTGGTTTGTACGACCATTGAAACTTACTGAACTGCTCGGTCCCTGCAGTGTCGAGGATTTCCAGAATGACATGGCGGCCCTGGCGGGTGTCAGAAGGCTCAGCTACAAGGACATGGCAGCACTCACATCAACATCAAGAACTTTGCGATATGAGTCTTCGATGGTAGGGTCGTAGCTCTCTATCCATACATTCTGCACGAACTGGGCTGTTAGGCAGCTTTTCCCGACTCCACCTAATGCGCCACTGTCGTCAGTCGAGATCTAGCTGCTGATGGCGTACAGCTAGCGTAGGTACGTACCAGAACCGAGAACGACTATGTGATACTCGCGTTGCGACATGGCTCCTGTCTGGGCCCTTTGCGAAGTCGCGAGGTTTTGAAGAAAATAGCAAAAGTGCTCTTTGCCTCCTGTGGCGGTGTGTGCCACAGAGGGAGGAGCGGCTCAAGCTGGGGGCGTTTAGCGTTGGCTCAAGCTGGAGAGGCTTGGGTCGCTCAGACACAGCGTCGGCCTGTACCAACAAAGCGAATCTGGCGGTGGGCGTGGTACGAGGCTCTAGGCCAACCACACTCGTCAGCGCACCTATTTGCAACCAAGGCGCGTCCAATCGGAGAGTGCGAGGCCTAGCATACATGCGTCAGGGAGCCGTCGAGGCGCAGTGGAGGCCATGGACATGATGCGCGTCGGGCAGTCTCACGTACCTGGTGAGCGGGCGGAGTGAAGCACTGGCGCAAGGGACAGATTTTTCGCGTCACGTGCAGAGCGACGAAAGAAGAAGCGACAACGGAACGAGCAGCAGGCGAGGTTTGCGAAGGTCGGGGGGGGGAAGGGGAGGCGAAGATGCAGGCAGGTAGAAGCAACGAGACGGCGCACAGGCAGGGAGCAGCGACGGACAGGGCGTGCAGCACAGCAGCAACGGTAGACTGGGCAAGGGCAGGACGGACAGGACAGGGCAGGCAAGCAAGCAAGCAAGACTGGGCAGGCCAGGGCACTGTGTACCGGTATAGCAGCAGCAGCAGCAGCAGCAAAGTAAGCAGAGCAGAGTCTGTGTCTGTGTCTGTGTCGTGCTCTAGGCCGACGACTTCTACTACCGTGCGTTCGGCATGGCGTGTGTACCATATACATAGCCAGGCTGTCGACGGCCTCACCTCACCGTCAATCAGGACTCAGGACTGGTTTAACCATTGCCATCAAGCGCCTGTGCCCGCTACACCCGCCTCCGCCTTCCCGCTTCCCCGCCGTCGGCCACGGCGAGGGCGCACCCACCGCCCACAGAAGCTACCGCTACCGCTACTGCTCACCACACGCCAGATGTCCGCCCAACGACGCTGACGACCAGCTGCAACCCCCGACCGCCCCGCCCACGATGCGTCTCAATGCCGCCCTCGCCTCCGCCGCCGCCGCTTGTCTGATCGCGCCGGTAGTGGCCGTGTTCGAGGACGAGGCATACCACATCGACTTTCACTATGCACTGCTCGGCCTGCCCGCCCCCGACACGACCTTTTTCCAGAGGCCATATGCCGGCTCAAAGGCCTCACTGCTCTACGCCGTCTCGCAGAACAACACGCTCGGTGCAATCAATCCAAAGGACGGTGCGCTGGTATGGCGACAGCAATTGCACTCTGCCAATGCCCACGACCGACCTCACTTGCGGGCTACCGCAGGCCAGGACACGCTCATCAGTGCAGTGGGCAATCGCATCTCTGCCTGGAGCGCCGCTGATGGCCGTCTTGCTTGGGAGACGAACGTTGCGGATGCCGTTGTCGAGGACCTCGAGATGATGCCACAGCAGCACAATGGCCAGCCAATTGACGCCCCCGCCGATGCCGTCGTCCTCCTGTCCCACCAACGCCCCAGCGTCCAGCGACTCCATGGCAAGACGGGTCGAGCCAAGTGGACGTTTGACGATGCGAGCGGTGACACGCCCTTCCAGCTCGCAACCTCGCCTGCCGCCGTCTACTACATCGCCCTCCACACGCCCATGCTCGGAGCCTCCAAGCTCCGTGTCACCTCGCTGAACCCCACCACGGGCGATAAACTCGACCAGTACACTCTCAACTCAGATGCTGAGATATCCTCGCGCGACCGCATTCTCTTTGCCGGAGCTAACACGGCCGCCCCCCTGCTGGTCTGGACTGACAAGGCAAACAAGGTGCTAAAGGTCAACATCATCGGCACAAAGCATGTCGCTTCCTTCAACACCCCTGCCGACGACACCATCGAGCGCATCGTCGTCCATGCCTCCAGCCAGGAAAGTGCGCCAGCCCATTTCCTCGTCGAATACCAGACAGCCGCCGGCCACTCTGCCCATGTTTACCACGTCAACCCCGCCAAGAACACCGTTTCCAAGGCCTACAGCCTCCCTGAGCTGAAGATCAAGGGCACATTCACCACAAGCACAGCAGACGCCAACGTCTACTTTACAAGGGTCACTGAAAATGATGTGACTGTGTTTTCGTCTGCTTCGGATAGTGTCTTGGGCCGTTGGAAGGCGGAGCGTTCAGTCGCACTTGCAGGCGCCTACCCGGTTCACGGACAGTCTGAGCTTGTTGTAAAGGGCGGAGCCGCGAGCGCCATACGATCAGCCGTCCTCTACTCTAACGGACAGTGGGCACTCCTACGCAACGATGAGCTGGCTTGGACCCGTCCCGAATTCCTGGCCACAACTACCTCTGCAGTTTGGGCCGGCCTACCCGAAGCCGAAGCCCTCGCACAAGCGCTCGCCGACGAAAGCCATCGCAACCTGGTCTCTGCGTACATACACCGTGTCCAAAGACATGTACAGGACTTGGCTTACTTCCCGGCTTGGGCACAGGCCATTCCCCAGCGCTTGCTCGGTAGTGTGGTTGGGAAACCAAAGGAAACTACCATCGATGACATCCAGCAGGACACCTTCGGTTTCCACAAGCTCGTCGTTGTGGCTACTGAAACAGGTCGTCTTGCTGCACTTGACGTTGGTTCGCGAGGCAAGGTCATGTGGAATATGCATCTTAGCCAGTTTGCGCCCAATGCAGACTTCAAACACCCTACCCTCAAGGCTCACCGCGGCTACGTTGAAGTCAGGGATACCACATTCCAAGGATCGCTCTTCATCAACTCTACCACTGGCGGTCTTCTTTCCTCCGACAACATTCGGGTAGAGCGTCCACTCGTTTCCGATGCGCAAAATCTGTTGGCATTTGAATTGGTGGATGGCACACTGAAAGGATTTTTGGAAGACCAGCCTGGTTCAGAGCCAGTATGGAGTTTTGCGCCTGTTGGCAAGGAACGTATCGTCAGCTACATCGCTAGGCCGATCAAAGATCCCGTTGCTTCTATCGGTAAAGTGCTCGGTGACAGAAGAGTGCTTTACAAGTACCTGAACCCCAATCTCGTCTTGGTATCAACCGTTGTTGATTCAGCGCGATCCGCATCTATTTACCTGCTCGACTCTGCCTCTGGACAATTGCTACACACCGTTTCACACAACGACGTGGACACTTCTCGACCCATTCCGGCTACGATATCCGAGAATTGGTTCGCGTACTCGCTTACAATTGACTCTGCTTCAGGTGCATCGTCCCGCGGCTACCAGCTCGTCATTTCGGATCTTTACGAGTCACCACTTCCCGACGACAGAGGACCGCTTGGACCCACCACCAATGCTTCAACCGTACGGCCCTCAGGTGCAAACGGTGATTCTGTGCAGCCCTATGTTCTATCGCAGAGTTACCAAGTACCAGAAGAAATCGCACATATGACTGTAACGCAGACAAGGCAGGGAATCACTAGCCGTGAGCTGCTCGTATACGTCCCTGCAACAAACTCTATCGTCGGCATTCCACGTGCGGTCATTGATCCTCGCCGACCGGTTGGCCGTGACCCCACTGCCCACGAGCAAGCTGAGGGTTTGGTGAAGTACACACCACTCATCAACTTCGACCCAAAATGGCATCTTACCCACAAATATGAAGTCATGGGCATCAAGAACATCATCACAAGCGAGAGTGGAATCGAAAGTACTAGCTTGGTCTTTGCATACGGGCTAGACATTTTTGGTACTAGGATCGCACCCAGTTTTGCATTTGATATACTGGGCAAGGGTTTCAACAAAATCTCCATGTTGCTTACCGTTGTAGGACTGTTTGTTGGTGTCTTGTTCGTTGCACCTTTGGTAAGTTTCAATCCTCGTAGTGTTGCACCTACATGCGTACTAACAAGCTATTCAGGTTCGAAGAAAGCAAATCAACACTATGTGGACAATGTGATCGAACAACTTGACAGGATACAGTCTAGAAAAAGATGGGGGAACATCCCACAAAGTAGGATAACCCAGCGACCAAGCATCCGGGCAGTAGAAGGTGCTCCGATAGCCAGCCTGAGCCCGATAAGAGTAGAATCAGTAATGTAGAAGTAGTAAGATACCCAGTACCTCCGGATGGAGCTACTGAACCCACAGACAGCGAATGCTTCTGTAAAAGAATTATTCACATATCACCTGCATTATATCGATATCTCCCCTTCTCAAATAACCGGCCAATGCCATCACCTGAGCTTAGATCAAGCAAGCTCGTCGGGAATAGCCGCCAAGACGAGGCTAGCCGACGGAGCAACTAACCGACCAACAAAACTATGTGATGCAATGCATGACGGCCATGTTCAAAATAAACCGCTTAAATCCGCTTATTTCCAGAAGCAATTGTGTGTAATCCCCGGTACATGCAAGAACCGGAGCTGCAAGGGCGGTAAAGCGGGTCAATTTGTCTTCCATTCCGACCCAACTGGTAGGTAAGATACTCCGAGCCCCCTCGGTAAAATCCACGCTTGAGCAACAGTCATGATGTGATGTAAGGACTGCAAATGAAGGGAGCAGTATTTATAATCACCGTGTGCTCTGCGGTGGTGTAGTTGTTGTGTAGCTGTACATTTTTGTACAAATTCGACTGCTGATTTCCAAAGCTTTATTCATTCGATCTGTTGTAGAGAGATAAACCTCGCCATCCGTTCATACACAGATACATCGCCACTACAGTAACTCCGACCCTCCCAAACAAAGAAAAAGAAAAAGACACACCAACATGCCCGACCAAACAAAATACACAAACAAGCTCACGGGCGCCCGCGTTCTCATCATAGGTGGCAGTTCCGGCATCGGCTTCGCTGTGGCAGAAGCATGTATCGAACACGGAGCCCTCGTCACAATCTCCTCATCCAACCCCGAACGTTTCTCGAAAGCCGTTTCCCGCCTTCAAGAATCCTATCCCTCGGCCAAGGACCGTATCTGGGGTCTTAAGGTGGACCTGGGCAACCAGGAGACACTAGAGGAGGAGCTGAAAGGACTGTTCGAAAAGACAGTTGAGACGATGGGAGGAGAGAAGTTGGATCATGTCGTTTATACCGCAGGAGATGCGTTGGCGCCTACGGAGTTGGCGGATATGGTATGTTTCTCTCTCTTCTATCGTTTTCCAAACCACAACACTAACACACACCCGTCTAGTCCATCCAATCCATCCAACGCGCCGGCACCGTCCGCTTCTTCGCCCCCCTCATCCTCGCCAAGCACATCCCCACCTACCTGCACGCCCGCCCCACCTCCTCCTACACCCTGACCACGGGCGTCGTGGCCGAGAAACCCATGCCCAACTGGAGCGTCATTGCGTCCTACGCCGGCGCCGCCTACTCCATGGTGCGGGGCCTAGCACTCGATCTCAAGCCCATTCGCGTCAACGGCGTGAGCCCTGGTGCGGTAGACACTGAGATTTGGGATGGGTATGGGCCGGAGGTCAAGGCGAAGATTCTGGAGTCGATGGGGGCGAAGATGGCGACGGGGAGGGTCGGGAGGCCAGAGGATGTGGCGGAAAGTTATTTGGGGTTGTTGAGGGATGGAAATGTGGATGGGGTTGTTGTTAGGAGTGATGGGGGGAGTATAGTTATGTAGGGTGTGTGTGGCTTCAGTGTGTTATGCACAATGATCTTACGGATTGAATTAAGAGCCCAATGTTATTTTGCCGCTGTGTAGGGAGTGGTTGTGTCATTTGTATGTATCATGTCCTGAGCCCAGGAACATAATAAAATAATTTTCCATGACCCAGACTATCTCCCCAAAGAACCCAGCTCCAAGCATCACCTACCCCCTAATCCTCCGTCCTCTGCATAAAAGCCCTAACCCCCTTACTATCCAGCCGCGTCACCGGAATAAAGAAATCATGTCCAACCCTCACATCCTCCACCGTCGTCTCATGCAGCTCAAACCTATACCTGCGAAACATCATAGCAAGCGTAAGATACATTTCCACATACGCTAGATTGATGCCCATACAAGAGCGCGTGCCCCTCCCAAAAGACACCATAAAACGCTCTAACGGAATTCCATCTTCCGTCTTTGAGTCGTCGAGCCAGCGCTCTGGGAGAAACTCGAGAGACTGAGGGAATATGGATTCGTCGTGGGAGACTTCTGGTATACTCATTGACTGCAAAATATTAGCCAGGCTGTCGGCAGTACATTCGATGAGAAGGAGGAAAATAATGAACTCACAACACAAGTCCCGCCCGGAATAACCCACCCGCCATAACTAAACTCCCCCTTGAACGTCCGCGGATTCCTCGCACTAAGCCCATAGCTCAACCTCACCGCCTCCAACACGACCGCCTTGAAATACGGCATTCTCTCACACGGCCCCAGCTCAATAACATCGCGGTTGGGAAACGCAGCGACCAGGTCGCGGTGCAAACGCTCGTAGATGCGTGGCGTGGCGATGACGTAGTAGGCGGCTATGGAGAGGGAGAAGGCGGTTGTTGCGACGCCGCCGCCGATGATGATTTGGGCTTCGTCGGCGAGGCGGCGGTGGCTTTTGTCGCACGCGGGGAGCTGCTGGGAGGTGAGGATTTCGTCAAAGATTGTGCGGGGGGCGTCATTAGATTTCAGCGTATCGCCCGAGAGTGTGCGGCCGATTAGGGTCCATTGGTCCTGTGGGGGTTGAGTTAGTTTGAGGAAAGGACCTCGGAAGTGTGGGAGAGGAGGAGGGGGGCTTAGGAGAAAGGGTGGACGTGACATGTGGGCATTTCTGACACTATAATCGGATGACATGATCAAGGTTTGAATGTAGTGTATGAATATAGATATATCATCGGAATAGATTGAAAAGAAAGACCTCATACCCGCTTAAACTTGAGCACTGTCTTAGTCGCAGGCTGCAACCACTCCGTAATCCAATCCGGGATACTATTCATAATCTGCAAAACACACCCGTCAGCAAAATATCTCCCCTCCTCATCCTGAGAAATCCAATGCTAAACCAACAACCTCCTGAACTATCACCTTACCGAACATACTTACAGGCAAAATCGCTGGAAACTGTGTAGCAACATGACCCACGCCCCCAATCTTAATGAAAGCATCATGAAAAGACTCAAAATCCGGGTGCTTGAGTTGATCGTAGTTGAAGCCGAAGAAATAGTCCATGATGATGTCACCGGTTAGAGCGGGGAAGGCGTGGGTGAGATTGATGGGTTCCTTGCGGGCTTCAAAGTCTTGCATGCGCACCGAGAGGGTGTCGATGTGGCGGTAGATTATGTGGATGAAGTCAAGAATGGAGCGGCGGGAGAACCTGTGCGGTGGGTAGTTAGTGTGTATGTTGCTGGGCTTGTGTGGACAAGTGTTTGTGGGAGACATTGTTTTGATGGGTACATGAGGAGGGGTTCTCGTGGATGAGTTTGAAGTAATGGTATCTATGAGCTGGTATCCTGTGTCTCTATGAGCGAATTAAGAACCTTTTGCTGACTTACATATGGGTTACAGCTGCACGACGTCTTTTGTGATCTTGGGCATCTACAGTCGTGAGTAAACCACCACTACATCCAAAACGCTTGTCCCAGCCTTCCTTGTCAAGGTGCACATTTTTGGGATATACTTGTTCAAAGAAGCGCGAGTCGCGAATGTGTAGCTCATTGGGTGTAACCCTGATGATTGGACCTTGCACATGCCATGTCAGCAAAGCGAGGAAACGAGTCTTTGAAACTGGGATTTAGCTACCATATTTATCATGCAGTTTGGAGATTTGAGGCGAGTACCGTCCTTTCAAAACTATCTCATAGTAGGCCTCGTACCAGCTTGTCACTGCTGCAAGCATGGGACCCGGAAACGCCGCTAGTGGATGGAAGTACAGGCGATAGATATAAAGGCCAAATACGTAGACGATAAACGACACCGCACAGAGGAGCGGTAGCGTGGGCATTGGTGCTGTAATAACCTAGTCGAAGTTTGACTAGGAGACCAGGGTTAAGTAGCCAGGACGTCGGAACGTGTGTCAAGAAAAAGAGGATTGGTCAGGGGAAGTAGTTCTCTTTAGAGTGTATTCAACTTCGGCCGTGCACCAAGGCCCAACTGCTGCAGGGACCAGACCCGTCAGTGAGTGGCTACAGGTGAGTTACTTGTTACTTGGTTCATTGGAGGCGGGGTGAGTGACGGCACAACGCAGGCAAACATGCAGCTCGACGGCGTGCTGCCACATTCAGTACGAACAGCATACTACGGCCAAAGTGAAGGAAAGCCAATGCTTGTGGGAGCAGCTTTCCGAATATGTGACCCAATTAGTCTCCCCACCTCGTGTTTCCCCGCGTAGTTCTCTTCACTGCCAAGGTTTCTACGTGTTCAAGCCCGTGAATAGAGCCGGGTTCTGCTTACCTTGTTGAAGCGAAGGCACATCATGCTGTTTTGATCGACTATCGCGTTGGTATTCTAACCGTCTTACGTTAGTCTTTCGGTTTGCTAGGAACATAGGGCCGACGCGGTATGTCAATCAGTAGGATTGCGGCAATCATTTCTCTCTTTAGCAAGCCACATGTTATGTCTGGTATCGCCCACTTTTCGCCCTTGGCCTGTCGGGAGCGGTCCGATACGGAGTGTTACAAGCCTAGCGTGTTAGTATCCGACGTCTTCCTAGTGAGGCTACGCTTCTGCATGCATGCTCGAAGGCTGTACTGCAGGACTGCGCGTAGAATTCCGTCACGTGGCGTTGACACCACACATCTCGTCAAGGCTCACCACATGATGAATACGCCGCTGTCCGGCGGTATTCCAAGGGTCAGTTTCAAACTGATTTACGTGTGGTGTGATGCAAAGGCAAGCCGACCAATCCGTCATGCTATCCTCCGGGTGTGGTGATAAGCGTCGGGATGCGCATCCAGCCAGAATTAGTTCTATACCACGAGGCGGACGAACGGGCGGCTCGACGGCGCGTGGCCACCTATGACAAGGAACGGCGATATGGCTAAAGAGTGGAGAGTGATGTATGTACCTATTCCGGGACAGGCGCTCCCACATATCGCTAGTCGCCAAAGCACGGCTGTTGAGCGAGGGGAAGGAGCCGTCATTTAGCACCTCGCCGCACGGCATGCCACGACAGACGGGAATTGCTTCGGGAATCGTATAAGGCGACACACACCCCGCGAGGCCCTGCGTCCCATCTGACTTGGCCTTGCCACTCCCACCACGACAGTTAGTAGAGGCTCCACGACATGTCGGCGGCCGCCCCCGCCCACACGAGCGTATCGCATCCGCCAGCCAACAACGACAACGAGGAGAACGTTGAGAATACCGGAAACGATGAAAACAATGAGGACAGCAATGATAATAATGCCAGTGGGAACCTTCAATCTGTTTTACACCTAGACGTCGATACCGCAAGCAACAGCGACAGCGACTCGGCATTCGGCGGCAACTCCACGGCATCTACATCCCTCGCTTCGACAATCCTAAACTACGAATATATAAACGGCCGCCGCTACCACGGTTACCGCTCGGGCTCTTATATCCTGCCCAATGACGAGCAGGAACAGGATCGTCTCGACTTGCTGCACCACATATTTCTGCTCATTCTCGGGGGAAAGCTCTACGATGCGCCTATTCCCCATTCTCCCCAGCGCGTGCTCGACATCGGCACCGGAACTGGCATTTGGGCCATTGACTTTGCAGACGAGCACCCCGGCGCTGAAGTCATAGGAACAGACCTAAGTCCCATACAGCCGACATGGGTGCCGCCGAATGTCAAATTCTATATTGACGACGCAGAGTCCGAGTGGGTTTACAGCCCAGACGAGGCATTTGACTTTATCCACTGCCGTACCCTGTCTGGCGGAATTTCAGACTGGGACAAGCTGGTTCAGCAGACATTTACCCATACCAAGCCCGGAGGCTGGGTCGAGTTCCAGGAGCCGCTTGCCTTGTGTGAGAGTGATGATGGCACCCTAGAGACGGCAAAGGATATGGTGCACTGGCAGATACTGTGTCATGAAGCTGCTGAGACCTGGGGGAGAGACATTCGCGTGGGACATGCGCTGAAGCAGAAGATGCTTGATGCGGGTTTTGTCGACGTGAATGAGAAAGTTGTCAAGATTCCTCTCGGGCCGTGGCCAAAGGACGCCCGTATGAAGGAAATCGGCAGGTACCAGCGTGAACACATGGCCATGGGCATAGAACCGTATACCCTCGGCCTCATGGGCAAGGTCATGGGCTGGAGTGAAGCAGAGTGCCGTGTGCTGATTGCCAAAGTTGTTGCTGACATTCGGAGAAGGGATGTGCATTTGTACATTAGGTTCTACTTTGTGCACGGAAGAAAGCCAGGCGCGTGATGAAAATCAAGAACAAACAAAGTGCATGTTCACATTCGTCTCTTGACTCTTGTAAGAGCTCGTTCGACTACGTTTCTACCGAGCTGTGGTATGCTTTGTACACCGCCACCACCGCCTTCTCTGCCGTCGCCCCAATCGCCTGCTGCTTGTATATCATTGTCCTCTTCATTCCCAGCAACGGGCACGACCCTAACTTCGTACTGCCTCGGCGGATCTCTCAGACCTGGCCATATATCCAGCGGTAGGAAGTCTCCTTGAGCCAAAGTAAACTGCTCCCTTGCGCGCTCGTCTTCGAGATGTAACCTGTCCAGTTCTCTCTGCGCTTCTTCGGCCTTGCGCTTCGCCTTCTCATGTCGTCGACGCCGAGAGGCTATTTCGACGAGCAGCTCGGCGTATGCAAGGTCGAAGCGCTCGTAAAATTCGCGCTGGTTCTCCCACTCGTCAATGCCGTTTAGGAGGCTAGGGCGCGTGTCGTGGAGCCATGAGGTATGAAAAGAACGTGATGCGGCAATGTAGGTTTTGACCTGAACAGTCATGTGCGATATGATGTCAAGTGCCCTGGAGAGAGCCGATGCTTCGCTCCGCAAGTGGTTGACATGGTTCTCAATCTGGCTCAAGAGAAAGGTCATTTCTGAGCCTCGTTCTTGTATTTCATTCACGACGTGATCGACTTCGCGCGCATCTTTTTGCACAACATGAAGCATATCGCGTCGTTCTTGCTCGCTCATGGGTTCAGGGGGTACAGCACCATGATCGGCCGAGTGAACTGGCGCGTCACCTGTGGCCTGGGTAGCAGCAGCAGATCCTCCTTCGGTGTGTCGCAACGCTGTTATACACAGATCGTAGTGTTGGACGAGTGATTGGAAGGCCTGAGCAGCCTCTTTGGCATGTCCCTCGAGATGACGGTACAGGCTCGGTATGGGGCTCGGATTCGATGTCGTCGCAGGAGTCATGGGTACGTTCGTGATGGACGAGTGGAGATTGTCCAGCCATGTGTCAAAGGCGTCAGAACTGTCATCTAGCGCTGCATGAGCGTGGTTGTAACGGTCGATGCAAGCGCGCAGTGTAGCCTGCAGGTTAGAGACGGTAGCGCTGTCAATGAAGTCGTAAAGGTGTTTCTGCGGGGTACCGTGAGGCTGCAGTACGGCTTCGATGGGCGTTTCCCGCAGTACAGCGAGGGTCGAGTTGAGGCCAGCGAAAGCTGTATCAACATCGTGGAGGAGTTGCTTGAAGTCGGCCTGGACCTGCACTTCTACCACGTCGACGCCGCGACGAACAGCTTCCAGCGCATCCACCTGCTGCTCGACCAGGTTGCGCGTGGCTGTATTCTTAGCAGCGAGGACTGCATTCTCCTCGAGCAGCTCGCGTGCTGTGTTGACGATATCGGTTGCACGCCATAGTACCGTCTGGGTGTTGAGAGAGCGTTTGGCGGCGACAAAGTGCTTGACGAGGTGTTCGAGCGTCAGAGAGTCATTGTTCTCAAGAGAGGCAGTACTGCTTGCTGAAGATAGCGGAGATTCTCTGTCGGAGAACATGGCTAGCTTCAGCTTCAGCGATGCAAGCGCATTCCGGCGATACGGCCCATGAATGAAGCAAGATGGGCGGAGCGAGATGAGATGGAAGCTTGAGCAAGACAAGGCGTGGTCCTACCAGCATCAAGGTACATAGTTGGGTACCTGCATAGTTTACGGGACCGCGGTGACCTCAGCCCCACGTGACTTGTCGGGAGGCACTAGCGCGGCACTAGCGCGGCACTAGCGTAGGCCAGAGCCCAGGGTCCACCTGGGCAATTGCGGAGAAGCATGGGCGCATTGCGTGCTCGGAAGATGCTTCTTCGACTCGGGATTGCGACACCCACGGCGATACACATGCATTGCGTCTCCTGAGGTTTCTCAGTTGCCAATATGGCGTCATATAACTCCACGCCCGCTCAAAAAAGAAGACGTCTCTCATGGCGCACCCAAGTTCCTGCCACTCACGCCGCCCTGATGCATGGACACGACCACGACCACGATCACGACCACGAGATTGACCACGATCACGACAAGTCGAAAAAGATGGAGAAGATGATCACGCCATATCTGGCGCAACACATTCCTCACCAGTACAACCCTCTCGGCGCCACCGGCGACGGCCAAAACGAGCGTCCGCCCACTGCAAATACAAAGTTCTGTTATCGCCATCGTCCCGATCTACTCTGTCGACGGCAAGCAGACGAGCCCTCGATGGAACAGTTACAAGAAGTGCGTGTCCTTGTCCTTCTTTCCCTGCCATTTTGCCATGGCGCATACTGACGGCAGTAGGAACTTGGCAGGGAATCCCAAGAAGACCAACAGAGTATCGCAAACGTCTGGTCACTCTTCTCTGCGGCCCCGTCTCGTCACCGTAATCTCATGCTGCAAGGCATACTCGCACAATGCTGTTTTCCACAGCTCTCCTTCATCTCCTCGTCTGTCCGGAATCTTATCAAAATCGACTTTCTCGGCGCACTGCCCACTGAACTGGGCTTCAAGATCCTATGCTACCTGGACACAACCTCGTTATGCAAAGCTTCTCAAGTCAATCGACGTTGGCGCCAACTGGCCGACGATGATGTAGTTTGGCACAAGATGTGTGAACAGCATATTGACAGGAAATGCACAAAGTGCGGCTGGGGACTGCCGCTCCTAGACCAACGTCGGTTACGGCTTGAAAAGAGACGGATTCAATTGCGTGCATCTGGGAGAGGGCTCAACGAGGCGTCGCCGAACATTGCGCCACAGCCGGATACCTCGACGCCATATTCTATGCTCGCTCGCCGCCTCTCGGATGTTTCCGACTCAGCTACTGGCTCCAAACGCCCCATGCCTGAAGACTTGTCTTTACCAGAAGCATCGAGTAAGCGACCGTGTACAGGTGTCGAAATACCCAGGAAGCGGCCATGGAAAGACGTTTACAAAGATCGCTACAAGGTCGGCAGCAACTGGAAGTACGGGCGATACTCGACACGGACATTTAGAGGCCACGGCAATGGCGTCATGTGTCTTCAGTTTGACGACGAGGTCCTCATCACCGGTTCCTATGACGCTACAGTTAAAGTGTGGGACATCAATACTGGACAGGAGATACGGACACTCACTGGCCACACCAAGGGCATTCGATGTCTGCAATTCGAAGACAGCAAGCTCTGGACCGGAAGCTTGGACGGCACCATCAAGATTTGGAACTGGCGGACAGGTACGCTCATGCAAACCCTGCATAGCCACAGACAAGGCCAAGGGGTCATTGGGCTCCACTATGCAGGCAAGATTCTAGCATCTGCATCTTCCGACAACACCATTCAAGTGCACAACTTTAAGCAGAGGACACGCCTCCCTCTAGAAGGCCACGCCGACTGGGTCAACGCTGTAAAGATTGATGTGCCCTCGCGAACCCTTTTTTCGGCATCAGACGACATGACGGTCAAACTTTGGGACTTGGATACGATGAAGTGTATCAAGACGTACGAGGGCCACGTAGGCCAAGTACAGCAAGTCCTCCCCCTTCCCCAAGCCTTCGAAATTGACGAAGACGACTTTGTTGCCAATGCCAACAACGACACTTCCGACACAGCCTCAATGGCGTCCGACACAACCCAGTCCTTCGCCCAACCACAATCTTCCTCGTCTCATACCAACTATGATAGCGAAGAGTCTTCATTCTTCCCTGACGACCCGTCTCGTCCCTCTCCACCATCATATATGCTTACCGGCTCGCTCGACGGCACAATACGTCTTTGGCATGTGCCTTCTGGGCGCTGCGTACACCGTTTCTTCGGACACGTTGAAGGCATCTGGTCTTTGGCAGCAGACTCGCTGAGATTAGTCAGTGGGGCTGAGGACAAGACAATCAAGATCTGGGATCCGAGGACGGGTAAGCATGAAAGAACGCTTACGGGACACACCGGGCCGGTTACCTGTGTGGGCTTGAGTGACGAGAGAGTGGTTAGTGGAAGTGAAGACGGAACAGTTAGAGTACATTGTTTCGTCGGAGATAGAGACTGATGTCGAGAGACATGCTGAGTGCATGAAGTATTGTTGTTCACCTAGCGTTTGCTATATTGCAGGGAGTCTGGATCAAATGTGCTTTAGATTTATTTCGGGATATGGCGTCAGAATACCTGGAACTGCTGCTGCCCTCATCCAGTTGGCGTTTGATAGATACCCAATAGCGGCACAAATGCTTACATGTCGTGCTAGTTCGCTTTTGACACATGTGGTGATGTGCATGACTTGAAGCCCGCACCTACCACTCCAAGCTCAAGCTATCTGCCCAGGTACCCTTCTTCTCCACCTTGTGCACACTCTCCACATTACCACTGCCCAGATCGGCTCCGTAGAGATGCGCAAAGCATCCTCGTCCTACATACTCCCACTTGACCTCGGCCTTGTTATCGGCAACAACCTCGCCATTGCCGTCTGTACCCGCCGCCAGCACATGGTACTTGATCTTCAGCAGCCACAGCTCTGAGGCGTCGCCGAAGAATTTGTCGGCAGTACCGGGAACTTGTTCCGCCGTTGATAGGTGGATGTAGCCATCGTTGCGGTCGAGAGACGAGAGTGGCAGGCGCTCAGGCAGAGGTGATGGCGGGGCGGAAGGGAGAATCTTGTAGAGCTTGGTTGGAAGGGGCGAGGGTGCTGGCATGGTGACGTTGGACAGGCTGTACTGTACAGTTGGCAGTTATCTGGCATCCGGCAACAGTATCCAGTAGTTCAATAGGACAGACGGCAAGCGGTGAGACACAAAACCCAACGTCCAATGTCGAGTGAAAGCATCGGGCTCGTGATTGGGCTGCAGCAGATTACGTCAGACACGCGGTCGACCACCGACAAGCTGAGGCTGCCTTTGGAGCGCCACAAAAGCCAGGCTGTGAGAAGCAGAGCGAATATGATTGATTCACATATCCGGCCTCCTTCAATCCAACGTGAGCATTGCGACAGTGCTTCCACGGACAACCTTGCTCAACGGTACACGCGCGTCATCGCGTCCGCATCTACCTCTCCGGTGCGACCACAAAGAGCCACGTGAGGCACGATACACTCTCAAGACCCCTTCCGTCCCCATGTGCCCACGGTAGCTACCAGCTGCGTACCCCACAAACTGCTGAGATGCTCTTGCTACCAAGAACACCCGTCTCCCTCTTCCACCACTTCACAAACCATGGCTGTCATGCCCTTCGCACACGATGAGATGCGCCGCGCTTTTGCCGACCAAGGGACTGCCCGTACATTTCGCTGCTTGCAAACCTCAACCACTACGCCCACTGATTTCCGAGTGACGTTGAAATATCTCAACAAAGGTGCCGCAAACGTCATCTTCCAAATCCACGCCTGGCAACATGCTTCTTCCGCAACCTCCTTTCTGTTCGCCGAGTTACGACAGGAGGACGACCCGTCTCAGATGGCCACACCGCTTCATCGTCAGCACTTTATGCACCGCGTCGTCCGCGTTCCGAGAGGTGGCGCCAAGCACCTGACCTCGACTGAAATCATCCACGGCTTTGAGCACGCCATTCGTCCGCTTTTTCTCCCAGGCACTTATGAGACCGTTGGCAACCTAAATGTACCGTCAACTAGCACAGTCCAGCTTACCCAGGATCTGACCAAGCATCTGATGTACCATGAGGGTGTGTTGTTGCTACCAGAAGTAATGCAGCACCTGTACAACAGCGCGGAAACCGGAACTTTTACCAGCACAAAGCCCCGTACACTATGGGGGATTCTGTTACCAGACATGTCACCCATCCCGGGACAGTCGATAACGCTCGAAGTAAAGCCCAAATGGCTCGCCCAATCACCCAATGCACCTTCAAAAGCGCTACGCTGCCGCACATGTGCAATGCAAGTTTCGGTCCCCAAGAACAGGGATGCGTACGTCTGCCCACTCCAGCTGCTTCACGGGAACGCAGCTATACTCCGTCCATGGGCACGCACAACCATTGCACGCCAATTCCCTGCCAGCGACCGTAACCCGTCCTCTCAAACCGTGCTTGCAGCCATGACTGAAGGTCTCCTGTCCTATTTGACAGCCGGTGAAGGCTCCACTCTACTAAGACATCTATTGAAATTGCAAAGTACACTCGACCCCTTCGGTGTGCTTTGCCGGCCACGCGATAGTTTCCAGGGCGCTGCGCTATTCGAACATAACCTTCGTTTGGCAATGACGCTCAGGGACTGTTCGCTCTTCATCAAGATGTCGTACTCCCCAAAAGGACTTGTTAGTATCGAGTCGAAACTCGGGGATCTTGATTTCAAATCTGCGGTGAAGATGGTGGATTGGTCGGAGAAGGAGAGACAGTTACTGGACGAGGGATCTTATGTTGTTAAGGAGGGCCCGAGATGTTGGTTTCAGACACAGAGGTAACCACTGCAAGAAGCTCTTTTTGTTCTGTTGTGGGCGGTCAATCATGATTTTGGATATGTTATATCAGTTTAACGTTTGATGGTGCACGATGAATCGTTTGTATTATAGTAATAGTAATATTGTTGTAAATCCGGTCGAGGCTACACTGCTGTACGTTATCGGCTGATGTGTACATACAACTACTTGCAAGTAAAGCTGGGCAGTATATGGTGAAGGGCTGACTTTGGAAAAAGGAGCGAGACAAGTAATAGAGTTAACAAAACACACAGAAAGCACGATAGATCACGTATATAGCATTTTGACGATGCCTCGCTATTTCAACCGTAAAGCCTCTTCTTCGAGTCGACAAGACAAGAAAAGACTCCACCGTCAGCTTTCTATCTCATTGCCATCCATTTCCAAAATTACACTAGATCACCTAATGCATCTCCACCAACACTACGCCACCAGCAAGCTAGAACTCGCAAGCAAACGCGCGGTGAAAGAACACACCCTGACAGTAAATAGGGCCATCCATAAACTGTCCGTCCTTCGCACAGCTAGAAGCGTAATCATCACATTGGACCAAGCCAGCATCGTTACCGCCTGTAGTCACCCACTTGCAGTTTGTACGGCCGTCCCAGGGGTCCATGTCGAGTGACATCTGTGTACATCGTTAGTCAGATCCCATCGAACCTGCACTCGCACACACTATACATATGCCAAGGGAAGTACTTACAGCCGGAGGACCAGGAGGTTGCTTGATAGTGTCCTTTGGGTAGTGAATACTAGGCGACATGGAAACAGCTTCGAATGGCTTCGGATACGTAGGACAAGGGCTCACAGGGATCTTGGCCGGGCCTTGGAAGAGTATCCAGTTATAGTCACGATCGTTGGCGAGGGAGAGCAGAATCTGGACTGAGTGCTTGGCGCTCTCTGGTTCGGGCTAGTAAGAATTAGCTGCTGTCGTCGTTGTCACGTGTGGCGACTTACGTTGTTGGGCTTGTCGGACGTAGAGATGTCGCCGGAATCGTCATCGGGGACTTCGGTGCACATGAGGCGGATGGGCTTGGCGGCGGATGTGGAGACGAAGATGAGGGCGGTGGCCATGAGGGCGAGGAGGAGGGTGGACCATTTGGCCATGGTGAGGGTGGTGGCCTGGATGCGTTACAGACTGTGGGTGTGGTGGTGACCTAAGCAAATTGGTTTGGATACGAGAGTGCGGAAAGGTTGGAGCGCAAGGTATATATCAAATGAGAGAGACTGCTTGTGGGGCTGCCTAGCTGAAAGCGGAGACGGTGGCTGTGTTTAGGGAAAGAGGGACGCCTACCGTTTTGGGAAATCAAGTGAAGACCTGGCGATGTTTGTTGATTGGTAATTTAGCAGTTTGTTTACATGTACGTCATCAAGGGCAAAGCGGGGGAGAGGCAGAGGTGAGATCTCTCACATGTCACTACGTCGACTTGATTTATTGTCAATGTGACTACATACAGCTGTGAGAACCTTGTTCGCTACGCCCTCAAAGTCCTTCACACACTCTCAAGTCTGAGCAGGGAAGATGTTGCTCATGCCAACTAGAAGTTGCAAAACCAAGCGCGACTATATCTGGGCCACCCTCCCACAGGGCACCGAACATATTCTGCATAGGCCGGATCCGTCTTACAATCGATGATGTAATCGTTGCCGCACCGGAACTGGTCTGGGTCACTACCAGTGGCGTGATAGAAACAGTTGTCGTGGTTGCTGTACTTGATCCTGACATCGAACTGTTCAAGCGCGATTAGTTGACAATCATGAAGTGCAGTATAGAACTTGGGCCTTGACGTACCGGCAACGCTCGACCTTCCTCGTCATATCTCGCAGGCCAAATAGGCTGGCGCATGACGTCGAATAGCGCGCCAAAACCATCGCCTTGGTAGACTTGCTCAAAGCGGTTGTCGCCACATGGGTTCACGCGAACGCCGCTAGGTCCTGGGAAGATGACCCACTTGTAGCTTTGGATTGGAGAGGACCGCAATAGGTGAATTTGAAGGGAGTAGGGGTATACATCCCATGCCTTGAATAGATTTAGTATCGAATGTTAGAATGTCATTGCTTGAACTTACTGAGACGATGGTGCTGTTGACTGATTGTTCGACAGGTGCGGCAGAACCGAAGCTGACGCAGACAGCGAGCCAGGCGAGGAAGGTGATCCAGAAAAGCATGCTGGTTGTATTCCGGTAGCTTTCCTTAGGTTGGGGTAGGGTTACAATGGGAGAGGAAAGCTCTCGCAGACGCAAACAAACTAATTTATACTCGGGTATTGATGGGTCTGTGCGCTGCAAACAGGCAAGACTAAGGCGAAAGAGGCCGTGGGTAAGAGAAATGAGTGATATTTCTGCGTGAAGGAACACTTCTTCATCGACGCTTGGCAAGACCAAGCGCTTATGCATTAATTTCTTAGCGTCAGATTATTCGAAGTGAGCGATCCTGAGTGTTAATGACAATCAAGAGCAGTATGTAAATGAGTAGAGACAAGTGGGCTGATGATATCCACGCTTCTGACAACTCTCACCTATAGTGCGCTCACGGCGAACAGCAGTTATGCCTGCGGTAGAATGTTCATTCATTGTGTGTAGTAGGACCATCTTAACAGACATAAGGAAGTATTCGGAATACATGAAGCCTAGATATTGACTTGACAGAACGAGCTCATATGCGGCCTAGGCTTGGTAACTCCTTTGTTTCTGCCAAACCAAGCCACATATCTCAAGGCATCTTAAGAACAGAAAGCTTTTCTGCTCTTTCCATTCCATCGTGCTAGTACTCGCAGAAGTACCCTCGAGCATACTCAAAACCATCATTATTGCAAATGTAAACCGGGTCGTTGTACTGCAAATCCTGAGCAAAGTCGTTGATCATGTAGTTTCCGCAGAACAATTGACCAGGATCTACGCCCGTAGATTTGTAGAAGCACTCCTTAGGATTGCCTCGGAACGCAACGTGAAAAAGCATCTTCATGGCCATAAAATTAGCTGACAGCTTTCTGTACGTTAGAAAGAGAGAGCAGGACTAAAAAGACTTACTTCAGGGGGGAATGGAGGTGCATATATGGGTTCGTAGTTGTAGCGGTACGGGCCTTCTTTGTGGATCGGCTTAAAGACTTTGCTACCACAAAGCTCTACGGCTACTCCGGATGGGCCTTGCCAGAATATGTACCAGTACCGGCTTCCAATTTTCTGCATGATGATCTGGATTGAGTGTTCATAAGGGGTCCTCGTGATCTAGAACAAAAGTCAGCGCATGATGGCTGGTGAAGAAAGAAGAGACAAAATTCACCATCGAATGCACAGAGTCTAGGACCTGGGTAGTGTTGATGGGCAATGGTTGGACAGCAGACCATCCGGAAGGTGTGGGTGACGTCGATGCAGGCAGGCACAAGGAAATCGCGATCAGGAACGTGCCCCAGGATACCATGATTAGTGAGTTTATCAGCGATGCTGCGTAGGTGTTGGAAGGATGCAGTTGGGTGTCAAGCGATGAAAGAAGAACAGAAGGTTTTCAGAGGTAGGTGATGAATTTTCTCTAGTCTGTATGAATCCGGTGGGGAGGAAGGAGGTGTGGGAGGTGACTGCCACACGTTCGTCATACAGCAAGAACAACATCTTGCCAAACCATTTTCTAATTCACGGATACACATAGGAGGGGTACGAGGCTCCGTGAATGACCCTGATTCCTTGTACTCCTGAGTTTTAGATTTAATGCTATTGTCATGTAGTTGGCGTGCAGCTTCAATAGCTTTGAGTGTGCTCTTTAATATCGCGTACCATGCTAACCTCCCCCAAACTAAAATTTCTGCTCACAAATGCACACAATGATTAAAGCTATGCCTCGACTAATATTGAAGAACGAACATCTTGCCCTCCGTGCTCTTCTTTCTTTGATATCGTCCCAATAGCAATACTATACAGCAAGCGATAAATTGTTGCAGCTGTTCTGCTCCGACCCTGTCCCGATATTACAGCACCTGATTCAAAAACATATTTCTTCATTTGTTCATAATGGTATTCATAGAACATGTATCTAATCAAAAGACACCCTACCCAAGCCCCTCGCTCTCGCCGCCTTCAAAACACCATTCTTGATCAAAACAAGAGCATTTTCCCACTCTCTTTGTGCAAAGCTTTCCTTGTTATCCGCTTCATCACCAATAAGATAATCAATCCACTTCACCACATTGACTGCTTTGCTCAAATTCCTCTCCTCCAGTACCACATTGTGAAGATACTTGACAAGTGCGGTGACGTCTTCCCCATAAGGAGCCTCATCGGTGAATGACCCTACCCACTGTTTCATGGCACCCCGTAAATCGGCTTCCTTGGAAAGTTTTTGCGTTGTGAATGTGGGCTTTGGAGGACGAGGAATTTCGATCTTGGGAGCAGGCTCAGGTGCTTCCGGAGCCTTGGTTTCTCGTGTCACTGTGGGCTGGAAGGCATTCATTTTTGCGGCTTCATGCTGTGCAATAACTTCCTGGCGCACAAATTCAGGAAGCGCGGCAAGGAAATCATGGTCAAGCTCGTCGTCTCTTCTGGGCCGGGCGATGGGCGCTTTAGGAACTTCATCACTAAGAGCAGCAGAGTTTTCCCGACTTCTACTCTCTCGCGCAGGGTTCTTGAAAGATATGAAACTGGCCTGAGTGAGTATTTTGCCTGTTTTACTGATTGCCTTCATTTGAGCAGCTGCAGCGAGCATTGCAGACCTTGGAGGACGACCTCTTCCACGTTTGACTGGTATGGTAGGCTTGTTTGCTGGAATGCCGATGATTCTATCTTTGCGAGGTGATTGAGGCAATATCGTCTGATCAGCACCTCTGGGACGATGCGATGGAGATGTATACTGGGCAAGGACTTCTGCGCGAACGTCTGCTGGCAAAGCAGCGAGCATTTCTTGGTCGAGGTAAGACTGAGTTGGAAGTGTTTTCATAGCTAGAGGTAAGGCTTTAGTGGGCGTACTAGGACCATCGCGTGTTTCCCGGGGACGTACGGGTGTTGGTGATGATGCTCGAGTCTGACGCTGTAGCTTCGTTCGTATATCCTCCGGTAGCTCTACCAATACCTTAGGGTCGACTTGTGAAGGCAAAATGAATTGCGTGCCCAATGTGTTCAGTGGGCGCTGAGATGGCGTTGAAGCGTTCAGTGCTTGGGCACCGAATGCAACATGGTCGTTCTCGTATGCCGATTTGGATTTCCGTGGAGTTTCTGGGTCATCCTGAATTGGGTCCTCCTCGACATTCTTCGGCACTCGTTGCGCACGAACCGATTCCGTATTCCCAACTTTAAATTGAAGCCTTCGTTGTGAGCCGTCGAGACTTCCATCAGTAGGGCTCTTCATGAGCTCGAGCTTTGTCATCTGGATACCAATGCCTCGGAGCTCACCTGGTGTGAAGGCAAAGCCCCGCACTATGGCTAGAGCCTCCTTGGTGAGCACTTCGCTCGAATTGGTTGCGACACCGAGCAGTATGCTTTTGTTGTGGGTATCACACTTGCCATGACCAAGGTGCTTAGATGGATCAAGAGGAGCATCTGGTGAGCGTCGCATGACTTTCATTGTGAACTGCTTCCCTTTGACTTTCTCTTTGCGCAGCCGCTTTTGAAGCTCTCCACATAGGCTTGCGATGAATTCATCGGCTTGCTCCTGATTCTCAAATCGGACACCCCAATTGACCTCCGCGGATACAGACTTGCGGACAACCTGTTCGCCGACCTCTTGGCGATCTATACCTCTTGAATATTCGTAGAGTTTCTCGCCGGTCTTGGGTCCAAGCGTCTGAATGAGCTTCTCTTTGGTCAGTTCACGGATGTCTTTGACGAGTTTTATGCCAAGCCCTTCCAATTTACCACCAATCGACCATGCAACGCCTGGTAGGTCTTGTACCTGGAGCTGACCTATAAAATCCAAGGCCTCTTCTGGCTTGATCTGATATTGACCGGCAGGCTTTGCTCTGCGCAACCCGACTTTGGCGAGGAGAATGTTGCCCCCGATACCAACGGACACGTTACAACCCGTCCTCGATCTCACTTCATCCCGCAGGTTCAGCGCAATCTCATTTGCCTTTGCCTGTTCTCGGTATACGCTGCCTTCAGAGTGTGCCTTGCCGTCACTCCCACCAACCGAAATACAAAGATTAGACACGTCGACGAGTGCCTCATCGATACTGACGCTTTGTACTAATCCCCCAGTTGAAAGAATCACGTCGTAGAACGCACGACTAGTCTCTTCGTAGGCCGGAAAGTCATATGGTAGAATTTTCAGGTCTGGACAAAGCTCTTGAGCCCGCTTCATCCACATGCCATTCTTGACTCCGTATGTCCGCGCAGGATAATTGCAACTTGCAATCTCAGACCCACTGCCTTGTCCATGGGCTACCACAGCTGGCTTGTCCTTGTACTCTGGGTGCTTCTTCAAGCTGACTGCAGCGAAAAAACTGTCAAAGTCAACATGGAGGATGTACCGTCCGGCACCGTGCGGACGTCTCTGTTTGGCGTCTTGCGATAAACTCTTTTCGCTCGCCAATGCCTGCATTTGAGATTTCAGCTCCGCCTTCCATGTCGACAAATGATGCAAGCGTGATTCTCGGTAATATTGTTCTAGAAAATTAGGATCCACAACTGTGGATTTACGAATTTTGGGATCCCGCAAAAGTATTGCGTTGTGTTCCTCAGCTGTAAGCCCTCTATTCTTGGGAGCGGGGATATCTGATCCGCTGAACATTGCTTCCTTTGGGTTCTCCACCTGACCGGACTCTGTCTGTTGAGCTGGAGGGGAACTCGGACCGGCATAAAGACTATCATGGGCATCATCCGGAATATTGTCTGTGTCGACGGGGGCTAGTGAGGGGCTGGTCTTTGGTGGTGTGACTAGCTTCGTGGAATTACTCAAATTGGCGGATGTCGATGAGTAAGACTCAATCTCTGTTTGATGGGAAGGCGGTAGATCCTCAATGTCGTCGTCTGGTGTGGAAAACCTTTGTTTTTGACTTGAAAAGCGCGCGCGCATGCTACTTGTCGGTTTTGGGGTACTAGCAGGACCCGCCTGACTGCCCCTCGACTGACTTTTATACCAACTGGCATCTGTCTGTTCTCGATAGCCTCTTGCTTTGATGTTTGCCTGAGCAGTGATGTTGCCGTTGTCGAATGCGAGCACTTTCTGCTTTTCTCCTTCATCTACAATGCGGTACTGGTTCCACTGTAGCAACTTGCCCGCCTGGATACTGTCGACGACCCACGCGGGCTTCACGATGCGGTACCTCCGAAACTCGACAGCCTTCTTTGGGGTAAGACTGCTGGCGATGATGTGTGTTACGGTCGTCTTCCCATCGAGATATTGCATGAAGCCGCCGCCATGCTGGACTATAAGGGTATGTAGGTCGTTGAGCGATGGTTGCGTGTAGCCATTCACGTGCGCCACAATGCCCTTGAAGATCTGAGGTTTGTCGCCCGCTTGCGATCGGATGTCGGCATCTAAGTTTTGAAGTTTTATCTTCTTGCGCCTGAAGTAGTCGGTAAAGCCTCCAAATGCCGACCCACGATACTCTTCGCCATCTTCATTGTCGAACTGGTGGCTCGCGATGCGCTTGCGTACCGACTCGGAATTCTTCTCTAAGCGGGAGCCCATGGTGAGTGTTGTGTGGTGGATCAAGCGCGTTCATCGGGGCCGGGGTCATGATCGAATGTCAAGGGCGTGTCCGGATTGCGACATGGCGAGGTCTGGCTTGGTGGTGGTGAAAGGCGCGTGCTGTGGCGCGCATTACAAGGACCGCGATTATGTCACGCTAGTGGCACCAAGTGGGCCGATCCATCATTCTGCCGGCGGTGAAAGCACGCTAAGAGAAAGCTGCATGGCTTGGCGAACTTTTTCTACCTCTCGAAGTCGCTGCTCTCAAGTTCCTCGCTTTTCGCTATTAATCTGCTCTACCCAGCTGTCCCTCGAGCTGTGAAATTCCCGAGCAAAAGAATTCCCATAACTTCCAACCCTCCGCACCGCAGACAGTTTTCAGAACTATCCGTCTGCGAACTTATTCACCATGTCTTCCGCTATTCCTGTCGGCGTCTATGGACGTCGCATTCCGGCTGGCGGCATTCCCATCTCGGCCTCAGATGACCAGTCAGCTACTGTAAGCTTCTTCTCTGCCCCAAGCCTCTTCTGCTATGATTGGAATCAATTGCGCCTTGATTTTCAAAATTTGCGCAGCCGTCGCATTCGTAAAAATGCGACTTTTCGCTGACATGAAATAGTTCAGAATAACTATGGCCGCTATTGACCCAGACGCGGAGCCGCAAATCGACGAGGATCACAAGCATGCTCGTGCTACCTTAAAGCTCATTCGTGTGCCCATGGACTTTGACGATGACGACGATGAGGACTACGAGGAGGGCGATATTGAGGCAATTGCTGCTCGCCTGCGTGCCGCTGGCGCACTCCCCGAGGCTGATTCCGACATGTCCGACTCCGACGACAGCGAGGACGAAAAGAATGGCGGCCCTAGCGACCCTGCTAAGTCAAAGAAGGCCAAGCAGGCAGCTCTCAGCAAGAAGCTCCAAGAGGAACTCGAGGCTGACGAGATGGACATTGACGGCAGCTTGACCAACGGCACAAAGGGTAAAGCCAAGGGCAAGGCCAAGGTCACTGACGACGATCTTAGTGATGAGGACGACGAAGATGACGATGACGATGACGATGAGCCAGAGGAGCTTGTTCTGTGCACACTCGACCCCGAGAAGGTACGTTTTCATAGTATGTCTTTTACCAGCTTTTGCTGACGCTTTTGCAGCACTACCAACAGCCTCTCGACATCACTGTACGCCAAGGCGAGGAGGTCTTCCTCTGCGTCAGCGGAACTTATGACGTTTATGTTACCGGTAACTACATTGCTTTCCCCGATGAGGACAGCGAGGATGAAGACGAGGACGACGGTCTTGAGGAGCTTGGCTACGACATGTCTGCTGATGAGGACGAGCTTGACGGTCTAGAAGAGTCAGAGGATGACGAGCTCGACGGAATGGAGGATCCCAGGATCACCGAGGTTGATACCGATGAGGAGGCACCAAAACTTGTGGAGGCCAGCAAGAAGAGCAAGAAGCGTGCCGCGGAGTCTGAGGATGATGCCACTCTTGATGACTTGATCAGCAAGACCAACGGTGACGCCAAGCTCAGCAAGAAGCAGGCCAAGAAGCTGAAGAAGAACGATGGCCAGGCCACAGAGCCCGAGAAGAAGGCTGAAAAGGTTGAGAAGAATGATACCCCCAGCAGCGACAAGAAGAAGGTTCAGTTCGCTAAGAACCTCGAACAGGGCCCAACTGGCTCCCCCAAGGTCGACGCGCCTAAGCCAGAGGCAAAGAAAGAGGCCGCAAAGGGACCTCGCAACGTTAGCGGTGTCATTGTTGATGACAAGAAGGAGGGCAAGGGCAAGGCTGCCAAGAAGGGTGACCGCGTCGAGATGCGCTACATCGGCAAGCTGAAGAGCGGCAAGGTCTTTGACTGTGAGTTTACCGGGTAAATTTTTTCGAGCAAGTACTGACAAATACACAGCCAACAAGAAGGGCAAGCCCTTTTCCTTCAAGCTTGGTGTAGGCCAAGTCATCAAGGGTTGGGACGTCGGTGTCGCTGGCATGACTGCTGGCGGCGAGCGTCGTCTTACTATCCCCGCGGCGATGGCTTATGGCAAGAAGGGTGCGCCTCCGGACATCCCACCCAACTCTGACTTGATCTTCGACATCAAGTGTATCTCGGTCGGTTAAAAAGTTTCTTGCCAGCAATTGCCCGACTACGCGCAACGGGGTCCACTTGCTCATGTACAACAACGGGGCCTTGCTCCACTTGTGTGCAGAACTCAGTGGACCTGCATGCGTTCGCTTCCTAGACGTTTTCCTCTTTTGTCTGCTTTCACTGCATAGCGTGTCGTCTGAGATATCCGACTTGCATAATTTCCGGGCTGCTTCGTTAGATATGTGCAAGGAGGAAGGATCTCTCAGTCCTCTTCGCCAATGTCTTTTCCTTAAGGGGTCATGTATATGTGATATAGCGAGGCGATGTTGCCACAGGGTGAATTTTCGCTAAGGAAGCTACACTGAAAAAGTTATGTGGGGTTTCGCGAATGTAGTAATACATCATTTTTAAATGACGTGTCTGGTGCTATGACCTTTCTGTAACAGCTCCTGTGCCATATCTAGGTCGTGGATGCCCTTGCCAATACCTGTATACTATTGCGTGTCTTGCCGTACTCCATCTGACTCTTTCGTTGTTGTTCCGCAGTCAAGCAGGGTCACTCTTGCTTTGACCGAGGTTGCGAAATTGCGGAAGATTCTAGCGCTAGTGGTTGACCAGTCAAAAATCCGGGTGCCCGCACGAGCCAAGACTCCACAAGGCTTTAACCCATCTCCTCCTCCGTCGTTCCAACTTCGTCTCACTTCAACGTTCACATAAGCCAGCCGTCACCACACCACGCTTGCACCATCCTCAGTCAACTGCTCTACTTGCGCACTACCATCTTCGAGCCCTACTCATATCTACCAACTCTAAAACACCCTCGCGATCCAACCGTGGCAATACTGTAGCAATGGCGTCGAAAAGAAGCAGTAGTAGTACGAGTAGTAATAGTAGCATTCACTCGTACTCGTCCGCCAGCAACGTCCGCGCCAGCTGCTATGCAGTAAACGCGTCCACCGCGAGCCTCCAGGGCTTTCATTACTCCACTACCCCGTCTTCCGGGGCTGGGTGGTGTTCCTGAGGTCAGCTCGGTATGTCGTCCTCTATCTGCGCCTTTGATCGGCTTTATACTGCGGATGCACTATTTTACGCGTGATACTAATGATGCCCAGGGAATTCCATCACCCCCTTCAAGTCCCCCCCTCGCCGCCAGACACGCGTCCACCGCTAAAGGTGGAAAGGCGCGCAGAGGGGGGGCAGCATATACTATCACGGGAGAGTGTGAGAGACTCTTCTGCGAGACACTGCGATCTGTTTTCCTGGGTGAGGGGAGCCAGCATCGCCAGGACTCGCTTGTGATGGGTATGCCATACAACGACATGACTGCAACTGCTACGATTACGAACGACTACGGTATCGATGCTAGACGCTACTCGGATTCTTCTTCCGATTCAGACGTACCTGAAATGGTGCGGTTTGACGAGGTAAAGGGTTCGATTACGGACTACATTGAGATGTGGGATTATGTTGGCGGAATTAGGTTCCGCGGGTTTGTCGCTGAGAAGGAGGACCAAAGGGCCATGTTCGTCTTCTTCGACGAGCCGGTCATCAAGGGAGATATCAAGGCTGGGTAAGTCGCGTCCACTCCACTCGCAATCCCGTTACTAACTGTGCTTAGTCTCATGGCCCTCCTCGAACTCTGCGAGGTCGACTACTTCTCCTGCGACCGTCTTGTCCTTTGCATCGACCGCCAGGTCGACCAAGCCGCGCGCAACAACTTGACGAAAGACTTAGGTTGGATCGGCTTTGGTCTCACGACGCTCGATGAGTTCAGTGGAGGCGAGGAGCTGACTAGCGAGAAATGGTTATTCATGGACATGGAGACCTAGAGACATGATTCGATCACGCGGTTGGGAAGGGATGAAGTCACATCTGTCGCTACAACCTGGGGCATGGTGCGTTCCTAGTTTGTGTTCTGGTCTTTGCGGTGGAAAAGACCATATTTGCACATTCTTGTTTTGTGATTACATGCAAGGAGTTTGGTATGGTGTTTGTGAGTGCGTTGGTATTTGTCATCTCAAGTCTAACTCTCTTCTCTTCCTCCACACTACTACTACCTGAAATGCTATCATCATGCTTTGTTTATTTACTGTATTCATTTGTGCGGTGTGCTTAGCGAATGCATGTTTGCTTCTTCTGCGTGGCCACATGCCACAACGACATTCGCATATCAGATCACGGTATTTGTCACGGTGCCACAAGGTGATGCAGAACAGCAAGACAGCAGACCATTTATGCATTAAATTGTTCATTTCACGAATAGTATGAGTAACCTCGGTATGCTTCACGGTAACCCAAGAGTTCCTTGACAGCTGACCCGCAACTGGATTCGTCGTCTCTGGCTTTTGTATCCGTACACTTGATTTCATATGGCTTACAATTACTACCGCCCTACGCATCCACTTCCGCCATGACGGCATCTACAGCCGCACTGCCACCGAACTCATCAACTTCCTCCACCTCTACATGCTCGATCTCGGCCCTACCCTCCAACGCACGCATGGCCGGGTTATCCGTACCCGAAATACCCTGTGCAACCTTCTTCCTCTGATGCGCCTCTAGATCCTCCAAACTCCAAGACGAATGCCCCTCCTGCTCCGCTCGCGACCAGGGAATACTCATATCCTTGAGAAAGTTCTTTGCCGCGCCAACAGCCTGATCGATTGAGAGTTTGGTCGATTTAGCATCCAGGCCCTGTTGAATCCATTTTGGAAGTTGTGTTTGCTTCTTGTTGAAACGTTTATCGGCGAGGACCATGATGCCGTAATCGTCTTTTCCACGGATGACGCGACCGAGGCACTGGGCGGCATGTCGCATTGCGTCGAAAGAAAGGAAGTCGGCCTCTTTGATCCTGTATGTTTCGCGGAGGAACTCAAGGCGGGCTTTCAAGATACGCGATTCAGTGTATTGGTATGGTACGCCCATGCATATGACAGTGCGGCCGTAGTGGTGGTCGAAATCGATGCCTTCACTGACTTTACCACGGGCGACACACAGCAGGACTGCGCCACGGCCGTTGTTGCAAGCGGTGCGAAAGGTTTCTAGTGCGAGGGCTGTTTCCTGTGCGTCGGGGGTTTCGACGAGGATGAGCTTGTATTTCCAGACTGTATCGAGGATTTCCATCCCTTGCCATGCGGAAATGATGCTTTCCATGTAGAGGTATGATGGAAAGAAGACTACGACGCCATCGGGTGTTAGTTTGCAGAATTCAATCAGTAGGTTGCCGAAGTTTCGTTGGACTTGCAGGTCGTTGCGGTGCTCGAATTGTGATGTGACTTGGTTCTGGTCGTTGCCACGGTCTACGATCATGGGGAGGAAAGATTTCCGCGTAAGAGTCATGGTGAAGGATTCCTGTACGACCGTGTTGAAGTTGAGCATGCGTGGGTACATATCTAGTGGTGACATGGTTCCTGATGTGACGATGACAGAATAGAAGCGTTCAAAGACGGGCTTTATAGCAATAGCTGCGTCCAGGCATGTTAGATGTAATACAGGGTTCGGGACTGTTGCTGTCGCTGATTCAAAAGGCTCGATGATCAATAGAAATCCGGTTTCATAGGTGGCTACTAGTGTGGCGAACGTAGCGACTTCTTGAAGTGGCTGATAATCTTCGATGTTGGTGAGTTCGAGAGTTCGGACGAGTGATGTTAGGCGCTCGGCGCAGAACCGCAGCGGTTTTCGTTCAATAAACGTTAGGTCTCTGAGGTGCTTGAGGAATTCCGGGGGCGTATCTGCGACGACGTTGAGGACCTTCATACGTGTTTTGAGGTATTCAATGAAGCGTTTGAGGAACGCAACGAAGTGTTCAGCTCGCCGTATGTTGCCAGGCACAGCTTCTGTGAGCAGGTCATCTGGAAGGGCAGGATTGGCCATGAAGGCGTCCTCGTTGCGCGCCTCGTCTGCGGCTCTCAGACCTTCGACTAGCTTTGCGTATTCGTTCTGCAGCTTTTCGGCATCGCTGCTCTTCATTTCGGTGATCTTGCGATCCAGGTTGTTGACTCCTTTTGTTGCTTTACGTAGCACATCTTCTGTTAGATCGATGCTGAGCGACTCGATGCACACGTTGTCGATGTTGTGAGCTTCGTCAAAGACGACAATGCAGTCTTTGGACAACTCCTTCGATACTCTGTCTGCAATCTTTGGGTCTAGCAGGTAATGGTATGAGTAGATGATGACGTTGCAGTGGGGCATCATGCGACGAGCTGTAAAGTATGGACACTGCTTCTGCTGCTCGCCATACTTCAGCATGCCATCGAAGGTCCAAACTCCAGGTGGAATAAGATTGTGTGGCTCTAAAAGATCCAAATTCTCGTGGTAGACGCAGAGTTCGACGGGCTCTCCGCGCTCCTTCTTCTCTTTGACGAAGCCAGCTGTCAGACTACGACACCTTGCGTCTACGACTGTGCCACTCTTCTCCCGCTTGACAGAGGGATGCAAACACAAGTTTTTTCGACTTGTCAGCCCCAAACCCCGGAAATCCTCTTCGTAGCCTAATTCTGTAGTACGGTACTTCATCAGCGCCTTCAGCTCAGCCAAGGCCTTTTCGATCTCAGACATGGTACGCGAGCAGTAGATTAGTTTCCGTTTTTCAGGATAGTGCTGCTGGTAAGCGACGATGAGGGAGAGCAGCGACACGGTTTTGCCCGTGCCTGAAGGCATCTCCAAAACGCAGTGACCGCCCTGGTCGAGGGTGCGCTTGAGATCGCACATGTAGGCATATTGCTCTGGATATACCCGCGGATACGGGAACAGTACGGGAAGATTGTCAATGTAGAACTTCATGTTTGCGAGTCTGCCGTCCGCGGTTGCTGTTGTGGCGGAGACGCGTTGGAACACGAGATGGCTCGACGTCGACGGGACAAAGTACCCACAGGAGCGGAATACGCTATGCCGGCTTCTGTCCTAGCGTGCCCCACGCTGCATCCATGACTCGGCCCGTCCGCAACTGGTGCCGTCATCGCAGAGCCGCATATTCGCATATTTCGCAATCATCACTCGTATGGTTCGGTGGAGTTCGATTCATGTTTTGTCTTGCTTGTCAGTTCACCTATTACCACTTGACTGCAGTCGCTTCTCGTCGTCGCAGCTGTACATGCTTGTGACTGGCACCTTTCCATCACCGAAGCTCCCCTAAGTGTTCTGCCAGACCCCGCCATGTCGAAGCGTTCCGCCAAAGCACAGGCAAGCAGTGCGCGGGCGACCACAACACCCACATTTGGCGCATTCGGCGGCGCGACACAGGCCTTTGGCGCAAGCTCGTCGACCCTTTCCTACGTGTCGGAACCCCCGGACCTCACTGCCATATCCGATCCCAACGTCGTCGTCTATTTCCGCAACCTCTCCAAGAAGGACAGCACCACCAAGGCAAAGGCACTCGAAGACATACAGGCATATGTGTCGGCACTGCAAGAGCCAGTGGAAGACGGGCTGGTTGAGGCATGGATCAAGATCTACCCCCGCACATCCATTGACAATGCGAAAGCGGTGCGTCAAAATGCCCATCTTGTTCACGGCCACATTGCCCTGTCCGCCGGCAAGCGCATGGCGAAGTACATGCCCAAGAGCGTTGCAGCTTGGTTATGTGGTCTCTACGACAGCGATCGGTCCGTGGTGGAAGCGACACAGACTTCACTGCGCCAAGTCTTCAACTCGCCCGAGAAGCTACAGAGTATCCGCAAGGCCTACCAACAACCCATTATGGAGTACTGTAGAGATGCTATAGATAAGGAGAGCACCACAACCCTGAGTGACGAGCGGATAGTTAGCAAAGACGACGCAGAGGCAAAGTACAGCCGCGTCATTTCGGCATGCATATCCCTATTGGGTAGTTTGTTAGCCAACCTACAGTCTGAGGAGCTATCCAAATACGAGACAGACTACAAAAGTGTCTTCTGTGATAAGAAGCTCTGGAACTTTGCCTCGTATAGCGACGCTAGAATCCGTCGCTCAACCCACCGTCTCCTAAAGACTTGCTTGGCCAAGGAACATGGTTCGCAGGTTTCCTTCCCGTTAGTAGTTGTCGATCATGCTAACAGAACTACAGTTTCCATAAAAGATAATATCGACATCATCAGCAAGGCCTATTTGGCTGAGGCACTGAAATCTGACCAGACAGGTTCTGTTAGCGATTACATTGACTCCTTAACGCTTCTGACCACCAAGTACCCCTCCGTATGGACTACAGATTACACCAGTAAGACGGCTGTGGAAAGGCGCCTAAGACAATTCCTCCAGAAGGGCTCTCAGTTCGGCCCAAGAGACTTCTGGGATCGTCTGACCGAGTTGTTCAAGGTTATCCCGAAAGAAGTCTTGCCGACACAGGAGACAGAAGCTGCCGAACTGTTGCGCGCCCTGCACATTGGTATTGTTCGCAAGGACGAGCCGAAGTACAATGCTGAAGCAGCGTTTAGTGCCTATTTGGACATAGCGGGACTTCTTCTTCAGCCTCTGGAAGGCACGGAAAGAACGAAGCTCTTACAGGAGATGGTATTGCTCATCTTGACACAATACTTGCAACCATCTCTAGAAAATTCGCAATGGTCAATGCCAGCCAACGCTACGAATCTGTTTTCGAAAGCGTTGCGAATCGAAGGAATGAAAGTCGTGCTTGAAGAGCAGTGGCCTTTGATGTCCAAACAACTAATTGACAATATCAAAACCTCGGCTCCTGAGCAGTCAAAAGACTATGAAAAGTCTCAAACTGGTGTGGTTCAACAGGCCACGCGCTTCGCCATTGTGCAAGATCACGCTCTGCAGATCGATAATCTTGCAACCCTGCGCCCCGTTCTCATTGATTCGTGTGCCTCGATAGTAGCAGAAGCTCTCGAGGTGCTTAAAAATCGGAACGGCAAGCCTTACGGCGCAGCGGGCACTGTTGCGGCTATTTTGAAGCGTAGTCCCAGCTTGATATCATCCACTCAGGCGGAGCAAGACTTGGAGCTTTTTATACAACAGGATCTCCACACACTGGTACTATCGCCGTCGTCTTCTTACTTGATTGACGTGCTTTACTCCAAGTCAGATTGTGCCTTTTTCAAGGATGCGTGGAGCGCATCTTTGAAGGCTGTACTGAAAGAGACGGACTCCCCAGGGAAAACGAAGGCGTTGGAATCCATCTTGACATCCTCTAGAATACCATCGGCTTTTGATCTCGCTACATCGGACCCCGAATTGCAAAAGTACATCATCGCGAATGTCCGAGAAGCTGTCGAAGGTGAGGCAGAATGGGATTCCTTTAGTCGTATGCTTTCATCTCCAGCAAAAGTACTGGCTCCGGAGACAACAGACGACATTCTCGCCTACATGACAAAAAGTCTGTCGATATCACAGCAAGCTCCATATTCACTGCAGGGCCTACGTCAGATTGTCAAATCAAAGCCGTCTATGCTGCGTGAGTTTCTCGCGAGACCACAGGGATCTGCCCTTCTGCAAGGCTTGCTTGTTGCCTCTGAGTCACCGAGTGATGAGGTGTCACAGGCTGCTACGGCTGTGAACGCATCAATTCGTACCTTGTTATCGTCAAGTTCGGATTCCACCCAGTCTATGTATGATCTCATCCAACAAGGCATACGAGATGCTACTTCAACATCTGTCTCTGTCGAAACTCTGGTAGATTTGGCCAAGCAATCAGTCAAGACAGGCGGTGACTGGACCGAGATCTCAAAAGTCTTCCCTAGTCTAGAAGATTGGAACGCAGCCCTCAAACCCTTCCTGAATGCTCCGCCTAGGTCGTCATTGGCGATTACCAATCCACTTGGAGGCGCTGTATACCTTGTCAAATCGACCCAACCTTTATTGCAGGCTGAAACCACGCCACGGGATTCCGATGGGAATTCTTCTGCGTACAGGATGACCCAGTATGTTACAAGACTCTTCAAGAACCCGGAGCTCTTTCCTATCGACAACGTACCTCGTGAACTTCGGGATGCATATCTTCGCAACATCGCGGTCGCTGTACAGCTTGCGGACGACAACCTAGGTCTTGCCGGCTCTAACGGCTTCTGGTCTCACTACGACTCTTATGCTGAAGCTGATGCAATGACCTTCATGTCGGATGCACAATCATTCGTGGCCCAGGAGCTGAAGAGCTTAGTTGCAACTTGGGGCAGTAACAATCCTGACGCTTCTCTGATGACCTGGGCGGACAAGCTGCTTTCTGATATTGACGTTGATGCCACGTCTGTGACATACTATAACGCACGGACTTACAGCGTTCTGCTCACAGATGCCATCGAAATTGCCGCATGGAAGAACGCCCACACTAGTCAACTGCAAGAAATACTCAAAGCCACGCGCAAGAACAAGAACTTCTTTCAGATTCTCGCATTGATCAATGCCTTTAGAGAACCGTTGTCAGAGGCCAAGGCCTGTGAAAGAATGTGCAACGAGATCGTCGCCGACTTGACCGGTCTGGACATAGAAAAGGACTGGCCAGTAGCCCTCCATCAGATCGTCCTATTGAACAGTCTCCTAAACCAGGACGGCATCTTGGAGAGTATTGCTAAGTTGCCTGGTAAACTTTGTCCAGCACGTTGCTCCTTGGCTTCAACAAGAAGACCTTGCTCTTCCAGTGAAGGCAGAGTTGTGCCGCGCTTTAAGTGTGTTGCTTCCCCTAATGAACGACACATACAGTGGAGACTGGAGTACCATACTGAATGCGCTCGCGGGGATCTGGTCATCAACAAAAGAGCTGGAAGCAAATGAATCTGAAACGGGCAGTTCCATACCGTTGATACACGCATCCCTAAAGTTATATGCCAAGCTGCGAACCCTTACCGAGGAGGAAGAAACGAATGACGATCTACTAGAGGCCTGGAAGGAGATGGAGCAACCTGTGGCCGATGGATTAATCAATCTTCTGAAGCACTCACAACACTTCCCCGACGAATTCCACCAGCCGCTCAAAATGGTGAATGATGTACTAGCGCGTCAGATCTCTAAGGTTTCACTGAAGCATCTGGATTCCACTGAAGAGCTCTTCCCATTACTCTATGTCGAGTCACAGCCTGTGCAGCAGACTGCCTTTGATATTCTTCACAAGCAGATCCCCGCAGCCCAGGAGCAGATCTCCATTGACGCGGCATTGGAGAAGAACACTGCACGCCTGCCAGAGGAGCTGCTATCTCTCATCATAGAGGCCCCTAAGGTTGCAACATTGGCGGAAGCGAACTTGGATCGGAGTGTACCTTTGCCATTACGAGGCTACCTACTGAGCTGGCTACTAGTCTTTGACCACTTGGAGCATGCATCTTTCAAGGTCAAGAACGACTATGTCGAGCACATCAAAGAGGGGGAATACCTTCCAGGCCTCCTCGACTTTGCTTTTGACTTTCTTGGTCACATGCACAACAAGCCGGTCGACGTGTCCAAACTTGACATTACTACGTACGAACCCGACGCCGAACCTCCTAAGCGCGACCTGCAGTGGTTGCTGACACACTTGTACTTTTTGTGTCTGTGTCATGTCCCGTCCCTTACCAAGACGTGGTTCAAGAACTGCAAATCGCGCGCCTTGGTTGTTGCTCTCGAGCCATGGACCGAAAGATACGTCTCACCACCTGTAATTGTTGCCGCGCTCGAGGCAGTGAACACATGGTCAGAGGAGCAATCGGCAGCCGAACCCGACTCCCCTTTCACCGTCAAAGTCGCCAGTCGCGCCCGCGAGATAACCGCCTCATACACGGTGGACGACCAAACAATGTCGATGCGCATCTCTCTTCCCGCCGCCTTCCCTCTCGCAAACGCACACATTGAAGGCATCAACCGTGTCGCTGTCAGCGAAACCAAGTGGCAATCTTGGCTCCGTACATCCCTTGGCGCCATCACCATCTTCAACGGCTCCCTCATAGACGCATTGACAACGTTTAAGAGGAACGTAGACGGAGCAATAAAGGGACAGACCGAATGTGCGATTTGCTACAGTATTGTCGGCTCAGACAGGAAGTTGCCAGACAAGAAGTGTGGAACTTGCAAGAACTTGTTCCACGGTGTTTGTCTGTTCAAGTGGTTTAAGAGCAGTAACAGTCCGAGCTGTCCTCTTTGCAGAACGAATTTCCATTATGCTTAGGGTTTGGATGATTTGCAGGACGGATTGGGCGTGTAGAGTAGAGCAGGATCAAGTAGGATAGAGTAGGTATGCTATGTAGCGGGCTACGCTGGCTGGCTGGCGCTATCACTATCTCGACGCGTGACGTAGACGCGTTGTTAGTGTTAGTGTTGAATAAAAGTTACCTCGGCTGATTACCACTACCAGGATCCTACCCCACACTTCCACGTACCCCAGTATAGCCTTTGTATACCGAGACTGATGCGTACCGGTAGTACCCAAGCTTATCCATCCCATGTAAAAGCCAGTGTTCAATTCAATCCTCCTCAATTAATCCCGCATCCATCCCAAAATCCAACTACCTACACACTCATTTGACATTACCATGTCTTCCCACACCCCACCAACCCTGCACTTCAACTACGACATATCCTGCCCCTTCGCCTACATAGCCTCAACCCGCATCCGCGCCCTCGCGACCCGTACCCGCACACCCCTCGTCTACCGCCCCGTCCTCCTCGGTGCAATCTACCGCTCAACCGCCGCACCGCAAGGCGCCTCAGGTTCCGCGTCCGATGTGTTCAACGCCGCGAAAAAGACCGTTGCTTCAGCCTCCATGGCACGCACGTTGAAGCGCTATAACATCGCGTACGCGCCGCCACCGCAGCACCCCCGTAAAACAGTCGACGCACTCAGGTTACTTTATGTATTGGGTGAAGAGGACAGGGAGAAAGTCACGCATGCGTTGTTTAAGGCGTATTGGGCGGGGGGAAGAGATGTGGCCGATAAGAAGGTGTTGTTGGAGATTGCGGGGGCATGTGGGGTTGTGGGGTTGACTGAGGCTGTCTTTGCAGATGAGGGGGCTAGGAGGGAGTTGAGTGCGGCAACGGAAGAGGCGATTAGTAGGGGGGCGTTCGGGGTGCCTGGATTTTGGATTCAAATGGCGGGTGTAGAAGGCGGTGGAAGGTACTTTTGGGGTCAGGATAGGATGCATTTTGTGGAGGGATTGTTGAGGGGGACGGCGGCTGGTGGTACTGAGGCTGGGGATATAGGTGCGATGTTGGAGACGGCAAGGGTGTGGGGAGAGGTAAAGGGGTGTAGGTTGCAATCGCTGCTTCCGCGGTGCGTGGCTAGTAACATCATTCCCGAGGGCACGAAGGTGAAGTTGCAATTTTGGTTTGACTTTTCTTCGCCATGGGCGTTTCTAGGGTACACGCAACTTGCACGGCTTCAACGCACATTTGGTCCCAAGCTGCAGATCGAGCTAAAACCTTTTTTACTCGGGATCCTGTTTCGAGAGATTGGCGCGCCGATGCTACCGATGAGTGTGGCCAGTCCTGTAAAGATGGCTTGGATGCGGCGCGACCATGCGGATTGGGTGGCGTGGTGGAATGCGATTGCGATGCAGGAGGGGGACGAAAAAAAGATACAGTTTCATTGGAACGACAAGTTTCCGATCCGTACACCACTTGCGTTGCGGGTTGCACTTGTCGAGCCGGGTGTTGTGCCGCTGTTGTGTAAGTTTTGTATCCTGTTTTGTGAGCCATCTGACTAATAAGATTACAGTCTCAGCATGTTGGGAGCGGAACGAGAATGTTTCTGATGATGCTATTTTATGCTCTGTTCTCAACCAAGCAGGATACAATGGTATGGAACTCATTGCAAGAGCCAATGAAGCAGAGCCAAAAGCGAAACTTCGAGCTTTGACTGCTGAGGCTAAGCGTTTAGGGCTATGTGGTGTGCCCACATACCTAGTATTTAGACAAACAGGGGGTGGGGAGTGGCAGGCTGCAGGAGGGTTGGTTTGGGGACAAGATGAGATCAATGTTGTGGAGGATTTAATTGCTGGATGGAATCCAGAGAGGGATGGAGGGATTGCTGAGGTTGGAAAGGTGAGATATGAGGAGCATACAGATGGTAAGAGCATAGGAGCAAAACTGTAGACTATGTAAACTTGCCACAGGTAGCACTGAAGAAAGTAGCGCAAGCCTGCAAGAGTCATCATTGGAATATGTAAATATGGCATTTGGGGTATCAAAGTGATGGTCAGGGGTTGTTGGAAATGTATCCAGATATCTGATCGAATATCAGGCTGAGGTGGGGTATATGTCGTAGTGGGGATTGAAAGTATGCGCCGATGCCTGCATATAAAAACGCCATGGAAAAGTGATAAAGAATAATCATGCCTAACGCGACAGATCGAGGTGACCGTATGCGCGGCGCTTCCTTCTCTTACTTGCCAGCTGAGGAGTCCAAATCCCGCTGAACAGGTCCTCACATTCATCTTCGTCCTGCGAGTCAAATTCAACATCTTCATCTTTGGTCTCATTCACCATGCCGTTGTCCTCTTCCTCCATATCCTGCTCCCACTCGGCTCCTTTGACAATTCTCTTTGTCTCCAGTATGTACTTGCCAACCTTGTACTTCTGGCTATCCTCGGCAGCATCCACATACTTCCAGCCCAACACGCTACCGCAGCTACGGCAGCTTATGTCAGACACGGTGTGAGCTCCCGTGACTAGCTGACGCGGCTGAGCTTTGTGTGTGAGTGTATTTGGTAAACTTCCATCTGACCAGCCAGTCGCGGACATGTTGCCACCCGGAAGGAAAGTAGATGCCGATGGGGGGCTGACAAGGTATGCTCGGCCATGTCTACCAGTGAAGCCTTTGCTTATGATGGACGACGTAGGTACAAGGTCTACGAGACACTTTTGGCAGCGAAGGTGCGATGTCGGTCGCGTTGCCAGGAAGCTTGTTGGTTGTGGCGGTGAAGACGATGGTGAGGGTGTCGTCGAGTTTGTGGCATCGCTGACAGCAGAGCTCCGACGCCGGCGAAAGGGCAGGCTCGGAAAGAGATAAAGCGGAAAGGGGGATGTTGGTGAATTCAAGTTTAACATGGTGCGCTATCTGTTCTGTGAAAGGATATGACAGAGGCTCCCCTGAAGAGGTTTGCCCTCTCCCTTGCGGGCTTTGTCAACGCGATCGCGTTGATGACGTGAGAAAGACGGAGGATAATGTACGGTAAGGTAGCAGTAGCGATAAGGACGCCACAGCCGAGGAGCGGGGCAGGGGTGGATGATGCACCTCAAACGTTTGACAATCACCCCTCACACACTTTCTGACCGTCAAGAGAGTCGGTTTTGCAAAGAAGGCAGCGGGGACCTGAAGAAAGTAGAGAGAAGAGAGGAAGGTAAATGCTTGCAGGTCATGGTTTTGATTCAGCCGCAAGCCGCTGTCCAATCTTGGTGAGTCCTCAGATCATGCGCTCGATTATTCCCAGCATGCCGTCACGAGATGCGCTGGCTTCGCTGTCCGCGCCCGCATGGCCTTATTGGAACCAACAGACCCTGCAGATACATTACCGTGGGTTTGCGATAATCATTGCATGCGCCTAGCAAACATGTTGAGGTGGTTACATCCTTGCCACGACCACCGCAGGCGCTACTGTTGTAAGTAGTGGCGTGTTTGACAACAATGGCAAGCTCCTGCACGATCAATGTTGTCTCCAACTTCCATTTCAATCTTTCTGTCTGAGTCTACTTTCCTATACGTCGTGTCCAAGGTTCCTTCTTTGTATGGTCAAACATCGAACCACAACTTCATGTTGCCCACCATGTCCCACCCTTCTTCTTGCATAGACCTTCTGCGATACTCGCAGTGTCTATCCAACATTGTTACTGCGCTCAAGTACTAGTATTGATTACCCACGAACCATCCGAGCTACCAAGATAATGCCTCTCGTCCAATCGGGAAAAAGAAAGGATGCTCACAATGCTCTCCAGCTGTCCCGCGATAAGGGCAAGGTGCGTGTCATTGAACGATCTGCAGCACTGCTTTCCTCAATGGCCGGTGGCTTGTCAAAGAACCCACCTTCGCGCAGCAATACTCCAGTTGGTCGCACCTTTACCAACCTTCGCCGTGGAAACCTCAAGCTCTTCTCCATCTTCCGAAATGGCAAGAGTATGTAGTCCAGTCACCTTACCTGAACTGCTACTGAACACTTGAAGGTTCTATTCCAAGCTCTGGGGATGCTAGGTCTACCAGCATCAGCTTAGTTAGGAACAAGCCCAAAGAGGCACCACAGCTCGACGCTGCCAAATCCTACTCCAATACTTCTTTACAATGCGCTATGATTCTCGACAAACCTATAGCTCTACCGAATCTCAACCTAGATCCAGATAGCACATCGTTGCTCCAACTTACAAACCCTGCTGTCTTCGATGGCGAATCCGAGCCTTTCCTCGGCGCTCGCACCCCACCTCCTACCCCTATAACCACCAGTTGGTCATCACCGACTCTTTCTCAACAGCTCACAACCAAGCTCTCAAACGCCCTGATGAACAACGATACAGTAGTACACCGTCCAAAGCTAAGCTCCCGGCCAACTGTTGAAACGAACCACTTCCGGCAGCCAAGTACTACGACCTCGCCCAAAACTCCAATGTCTGAAGCTCCTTCTCTTCCTTCAAGCGTTCTCAGCCCTGGCGGTAGTCTTTCGCCTTTGAGCCAGTCAACTGCACCTACGTCCTTGGTTTCCTCAGGTGGCCCACTGTCCGCTGAGACGATACATTGTGCCCTCGCAACCGATATCTCACCTTGTCTTTCTCGTGAGCCTACGGCTGAACACCCCCCTTCCCGGTTTCTAGTCTTTCCCCGCCAAGATGCGCCACAGCTTTGCGCGCCTTCTGTTGCTACAATAGAGATTGCAGCTGCGGCGAAGATCTTTTTCGAGTCACATTTCAACCAGCTCATTTCTACCAGAGTCACACCAAGATCTATGCGCCGCCGACAGATGGAACGCAAACTCTTCGCCATGGCTATCCCTATTGAACAACGTCACTGTAAGCGGAAAGAATAGTATCTGGCCGAGACCCATCATCTTCGACAGACAAGGGTTATGAAGTCAAACACACTTGCCCGGCAGACGATGAAGGGCGTACACATCTCAAACTATGACATCGTTCGTGTTCTTGGAAAGGGCAGCTTTGGCGTTGTTCGCCTTGTCCGCGAAAAGAGCGACAACTGTGGCAATCTGCGAGGAAGCATCTGTAGCATGGGATATCCCGACGGATCCTTGACACCAAAGGATGAAAAGTCCTCGCAAGCCATCCGCAAAAACAAGCAGGTCTTTGCTATGAAGGTCATCAGAAAGTCTGACATGCTTCGCAACAGCCAAGAGGGGCATTTGCGCGCAGAGCGAGATTTCCTTGTCGCTTCCGAGAATTCTCGATGGGTAGTACCTCTTGTTACTGCCTTCCAAGACAACAACAACCTATATCTTGTCATGGAATACATGATGGGAGGCGATTTCCTGGGTCTGCTTCTTCGAGAAGATGTCCTAGATGAGAGCGTCGCCAAGTGGTATCTTGCAGAGATGATACTCTGCGTCGAAGAGGCTCACAAGATGAATTGGATTCATCGTGATGTCAAACCTAACAACTTTCTCATCACCTCGTCTGGTCATCTCAAGATCTCCGACTTTGGCCTCGCCTTTGACGGTCACTGGGCTCACAATCAAACATACTACAACGAACAACGCTACGGCCTACTCCGTGACCTGGACCTGCATGTCGAAGGCGATGCAATTGATGTTGAGGAAGAGAGGAATCGCAGAAACGCTCGCGATGCCATGGAAATCATTAATGGCGCTGCAACACCGCGCGGGCGTCATCAGCCCAAAGAGGAGTCTCCGAACGGGCCCATCATCGACTGGCTGAATCGTGAACAGCGACGCCAATTCGCAAGGAGCGTTGTAGGTACAAGTCAATACATGGCACCAGAAGTCATCCGAGGCGAGCACTATGACGGTCGCTGCGACTGGTGGAGCATCGGTGTAATTTTATACGAGTGTCTCTACGGTTGCACACCCTTCTTCTGCGACAATCGCCAAGCCACCAAAGCCCGCATACTCGATCACAGACGCTGGCTACGCTTCCCATCTGACCAGCGGTATGCCCGCCCAAACATCGATCGCGTGCCTCTCATGTCGGTGTCCCACAACGCCATCGACCTCATGATGAGACTGCTCGAGGAGCGACAAGATCGTCTCTCAGCTAAGCGATACCGCGAGAACGACTGGGTCCTCCGTGATAAAGCGGCTGGTACGCGACGGCACCGGAGTAGCAATACTTGTGGGCATATCGTGTATCCCAACGATGCTGATGATATCAAATCCCATCCCTTTTTTCGCAACATCCACTGGTCCTCGCTCCATATAACTCGTCCGCCATTCGTCCCTCGCGTACACAGCGGCCAGCCCATTACCAAATACTTCGACGACGAGGCCGAAATCATGAGCGCGTCCGATCACCTCGACTCCTCCAGTTATGAGATCCGTGAGGGATTGGTGGTCCCCGTTGCCGTTGGCGAGGACAAAACCACACCACCCCTTCAACCTGCCAGCAAACCCAACGAAAACGTAACGACACATGGCGTATTCCGCCAATCGCTCGACAACATAAAGAGGCGGAAGCGTGAGAAGAAGAGGCCACGAGACAAGCTCCTCCGCGATCCGGTGGTTGGTCGCACTGTGTTGGAAATACGGAAGAAAGGTGCTTTTGTAGGGTATACGTATCGCAGGCCGAGGTTTTCGCTGCCGGAGCTGGAGGAGAGAATTGATGTGGCGAGGGTGCAGGGTACAAGGGGTGGGATCTTTGCTGCTAGTGCTTGAGAAAGATGTGTAGGCACTTTTATGTTGGGAGGGTAGAGAAATTGAGGCTTTCATAGGGGGAGATGTAGGATTACAATCGTTATTTTTGGAAGTGAGGGTGTTGAATGGACTCCTTTCCGGCGCCTTTCTCTATCCTCTTTATATCCTCACCACCTCCCATAACCTCACCATCCCTGTCCCCATTCTCCCCCCTCCTAAACAATCCTCCTCGCCCCCTGCCGAAAACAACCCAAACCACACCTACCACCACAAAAAACACCACACACCCCATCGCCACCCCAAGCCCTATACTAGCCGCGGCCCCAATCTTCCCTCCATCTGCCTTCCCTCCATCCGACTCCAACAATGATACCGACAATATTGTCTTAGTAGCAGCAAAACCCAATCCACCACTTACACTCGTCCGGAATGAAGGCCTATCCTGCGAGGTGGAAATAGGCAAACCCACATCAAAACTCGTGTACGCGGTTGGTATATCAGATGTGACAACGATGGGGATAGCTATTGTGGTACCGGGAAGCGCAGTTGGTGTAGGAGAAGGAAAAGGGGTAGGGGTTGATGAGGCGGTTAGAGTGATGATTTGTAGAGAGGTTCCTGTTGTTGGTTCGGTAGAATCGAGATAGGGGTCAGGATTGGGAGGTGGTTGGATATCCGAATCGGGTAGTGCGGGCGAGAGTGTGGTAGGAGAGGGAAATATGGTTGGATCCGAGGCCATGGGAGTGTTACTGGACGATGGTGGGGGATGAGAAGGGGTGGGAAGAGGAGGTGTATGTAAAGTAGGAGAACGATATCAGGATGTGATAATAATGTCCGCAGTGTGGTGTGTGGTAAAGTGTCTTTTTCTTTCACCTTGGTAATGGAAAGATGGAGCTACTGGTTTGCTTCGCGTTTTGCTCGCGTTATGACGTGACGAGTTTATGTGCTGGCGCATGGTGAGAGATAGGTAGTTGAGTTTCGTTTGCCCCTGACACCTAACTGTGGTTTCCCAACTTTACATGCACTCTCCGCACAACACAGATGTTCACTATCGAACAATCATAATGATATAGTGGTGATGTTAATATTTGACTACCTCTATGTTGGCCTACACTATCGGCACAACAGCAGTGAGTGATGAGAGATTAAATATACTCAACTCCGGCAAAGTTACTTAGCGGCCGGCCACCGTGTGTTCTCCACCCTCGATCTCTACCCACTCTTCTTTTTTTGCTTGGCCTTCCTTCCCTCCCTCCCCATGTAAATGCTCCACAAACTTCCCAATTCTAAAACTCAAGTTGATCCACAACGAGCTTTTAACCCCAACCAACCCCCCGCTGACCTCGGGTATGAACGCCAATGCTAACGGACGACAAGAAAATGCGACGCAAGGAAACAACAACAAAGAAGACCAAACACTAATAAAAAGATGGTTGATGCAAACGACAATTCGAGAAAACAATTTTTTCCAAAAAAGGGGTAGAGAAACAAGGTTGGTCATGATAAAAAAAAGTTCATCGCTCATAACTTCGTTCATCGCTCTCTCCTTCTCTTTCTTCTCCAATTACGCAACATAGGCGGGTGGAGCCTCAACTTCATCTTCGCCCTGCCAGAACCCACCCGTGGGAGCCGTCTTGGTACGAGAATGTGAGGGTCGTCGTTGACCCGATGATTTATCTTTTTCTTCCTGTACTTTTCTCGCTATTTCCTGTGCCATCTTCTGCATCCAGGCTTGTTCCAATATGCCGCCCGAGCTAGACATGAGGTCGGCATTGGGTGGAGAGGAAATGCGAGGTGGGGAGCAAAGAGCGGATAGCGAGGAGACTTTGTCAAAGGACAGGGAGCGGAGGAGTGGGGAGGTGGATTGTTGTGCTTGCCGCAGTTTGTTGCGGGAGATTGGTGGACGGCGGGAAGACGTGTGGGACACGAATGGATCTTCGAGATGAGCGGGAGGTGATACTGTCCGTTTCGACTTTGCGGCCTTGGAGGCGTTGGGTATTAGAGGTGCGGGTGCGAGGAGTGGTCCGAAAGTAGGGGGCTCCTCTGGTATCCGCTTTGGTGTCCCAACGTCAAGGCTGCCGCGCCGACTCTCAAAACGTCGGCCGGGTTGAGGAGGGCTCGTAGGTGGTGTAGCAAGCTCTTCCTCTGCTTCCCTCTCCTCTGGAATGACACTGGATGTGTCGGATACCTGTGTACTCGGCAGCGGCGTGTTCGCTTCTGTTGAGACGCCAGAGTCTGCGCCATCTTTCCTTCGCAGGTCGACAACTCGCTTCTTCCGTTTCCGCATGCCGCCCGCACGTGAGCGTCCCGAGCCGAGGCTGATACCAGCGGATGTAGAGTAGGACGACGCAAGGGTGGGTCGTGAACTGAGTGTCTCATTGCCGGTGCTGCCAGACGCCACTGATGATGCGCCCGACTTGAGGCTTCCAAAAGTCGACTGTATCCTTGACAGACTGCCTTGTGTGAGGGCGGGTGTAGCCGCGCCTGATTCTGCCCGGTCTGGATGACCTGCCCAAGCCCTAAAGACGGCTTCGCGAATACCGGGTGTAAAGAGCGATAGGGTACGTTGCGACTCGGACAGGGCGGCTAGGCGCAGGATATTCTTCTGTGAGAAGGAGGCGTGGATCTCGCCCGAGTCGAGTGACATGGCCGAGATCTGGGCTTCGTCTAGCGGGTTGCCAAAGGCATCAACGGCATCTTCTGGTGGAGAGGCAAGGGGATCGATGGCTGCGGTAGTATCGTTTGCGCCTTCTAAGCGCTCTTCTGTTTCAATTTCTTGGTACTCTGGCGATAACATACGTAATGACAGCCTGTGAATGATGGCGGGCAAATCCTCCATGAACAAGACACGCAGCTGCCCCTCAATCTCCTTTTGCAGGTAGTCGCGCACAAAGGGTATCGAGTCAAACGTCGACGACACCTTGAGCGACTCCAGCGGGTCGTTCCTGAAGACCAGCGTCAAGCCCTTTTGTTTGGAGAAGACCAAGATGACAAAGCCGGACAGACGGATATTAGATAGGGTAATCTGCAACGGTATCGTCAAGCCCGCTGCCGCAGCTAGTGGTTGCGGCGAGGCAAAGTCTGGTTTATTGGAGAGATATGTCTTGAGTGGATTTGCCTGCACCTTTGTCTTTAGAGTCAGAAACGCGTCACCGGCATACGACATCTTGAAGATGCCCCTAAATCTATCCTCGGCCAAATCGCCAATCTCCAGTATTTCCAGCTCGGGCGGGGTGGTGCCGAGGTTCAGCTCCGTGACGATGATGTCGTCGACGATGATGGGCGGCTTGGGCGACTTGTTCAAGGCAGTCGTGAGCATGTCACGGGCCCGCGACGTGTCGGCGATGAGCGGCGACCAGTTGAAGTTGAAAGCCATGATGGGTGAAAGCGCTCAGTTTGTGATGCGTCGAGAGTCGAGACTACCACGGCGCGGGTGCTGGGGATTGGCAGGTTAAGCTGCTGTCGCGTGCATTCGCCATGCGACCACACGGAACAAAGATTCGCGGCGGGGGCGGTTCTATCGCGGTGCGAGTCGATGGCGGGGTAATTGCTGGATGGACGACAAGATTCTAGCGGTGTAGGCGGGCGAGGGAGTTGGGTCGGGGGGTTATTATGGTGTGGTTGCAGACTGCAGACATGGCAGAGTGAATGTGAATGAATTGCGTGGGCAATTGCGGCACTGGAGGGGATTTTCCGGACCCCGGTTAGCGACGTCAGGGATAAGGCAGCTCATTTCACGCCAGCTTTTTTACTTTCGTCCGCTCCGGCTACACTACGCGAGCTTCAGGAATGGCGGTGAAAGCGGCTGGATGCCTTTTGCATGCACTACATGCTGCCAGACTAGGGCCCCGCGCCTGCTCATTCGTCGGTATCTTTACCTTGCCTGTCGACAAGTTTCAAACACCCGAGCCCGAGCCAACGCTGCCTCTATCCGCTGTCGCTCTGGCCGTTATCGCGTAATTTCCTACCGCGTCTATCCTGGTCGAGACACTTCGTCATCGACGCCAGCTACCCCGGCCATGTCACAATGGCGAGTACGGCATGGCCAATGGTGCAAAAGGGGAATTGGCGGGCACATCTGCCGACTGCGCGGGTAGATCAAAGTATAGCCGTCAAATTTGTTTCAATGCCGTGTGTGTGATGGCGTGAACGTATGCCTCGTGAAGCCTGCGTGGTACATGTGAATGACCTAGTAACTGAGACACCTCATTCCACCCTAGTCATGCGCCTCGCCCTCCCTCAGCAGCCTCTCCACTACCTCAACCTTGTCCTTGAACCCCTGCTTTTTATCCGTCCGACTTCCGACCCGAATATCGCTTTGAATCCTCACAATGCCATTCTGATGCAGCATCGAATGGCACTGCCCGATGACTCGCATCACCTCGTCCCACGAGCCCTCTTGAAACTGTTAGCACTGTTCTCCAGAGTCCACTGTCTACCCCGCCCATTTCCAAGCCTTTCCCGGCCGAGAGGGGTCTTGTCTCGGACGCGAGGGGTTGCCGCAGCATCTGGGCAATCGAGCACTTGTATGGAGACACGTACCAACAGTCGTCCCTGCAGAGTGCATCGAATAATCAAGTCCGCTCTTCTTGAGGAGCCGCTGTACCTCCGCGACTTCTTTTGATACAGAGGCGGTGGGGGTACCAAGTGGGATGAGACAAAAGTCTGCAATGCACGATGGCGGGGTCGGAATGTTTGTGTCGTTTGACGATGCCATTATGAATCGTGAACTCAAATTCAAGTTGAAACGTTATCTCTGCAGTAGGCGCACTTTGTTCACTCGGTAATTGTTTGCGATGGTGTTGTGGAAAAGTGTGACGTGGTGCACAGATCTGATGATCCCGAGGTCGGATCTGAGGATCAAAAGCAGGAACCAACCAAACAACTTCCAGGGTCACCCCATTAATAGGCCACTTATTGGAGGGATGGCTGGACATGGTCTATCAACAAGGAAAGAAATACCGAGTAGATAGAACACACGTGTGTGTCACGAGATCTGAGAATCCTTCAGTCCAACAGCTAAAAAATTATTATCAGCCATGACTTTCACATGCTTAGAACTTTCGAGACATGCAATCAGGTGCAGCTATGAAACAGGCACAGATCTACCACACCACGAAAGAACCGTAACTCCATCTATCCCATGATGCTTTTTTCTCCGCTTGGTGTTCCCTTAGTGTTCAAATAAAGTTCTGTCACCGCAATACCAGCTAAACCATGTATAAATTCCATCACATGCTCGTCGCAGCTTAGCACTTGGGTGAACATCTGATAGTGCGGTTGAACATCGTTGTTCGTAATACGATAGGTGTGCCTAACAGCAGTTATATACTAGAGTGACAAGTATCTTATGTCACCCAGGTGATCACATGCTCGCAGTCACTTAGCAAAAAGCAGATGCGTATTCTAATCTGAGGCGATCTGAGAGAAGCAAAAAGAGGCTAGCGTCCTACTGGACCTCGTATGCCGAAATCTCAGCTAGGCCCCGTGAACCTTCGCGTACCTTGCACCAAGGTATCCCACACAACGCCAGATAAAAAAGAAACTCCCCATGAAGAGGAGGATGGTTACGACTGGCTATGACTCATCTGAGGCTCGAACTCAGGACCTTCAGTGGACGAACACAAGCATCTGTGAGGATGTTATGTTAGACTGACGTGATAACCAACTACACCAACGAGCCGTGTTACACCAATCATGTGATTTCGATGGTAAAAAATTGAGACGCAGCCTATATAATATCATTCAAATTAAGAGGTTTACTACGGACGATCAAGCGAATTTGGTAGGGTGGGTGACGGATGGTGGGGCAGTAAGATGATTTTGCGTGGAGCCATTCAGGCTTTGAGCTGAGACGTGGACGCTTGACCTCGCGAACCAAGGAGCTGGATTGCTAGCGCATCATGCGCTTTATGCTATTCCGTCAGCCTGTACGTTTAAGTGATATATAATACTTTGACAACTACGGTACAGGTAAATACTTCTTGTTCTATTCCTAACAGGCGTATCTGGCGCCTACAGTGGCCTTTGTATACTAGCATGTCGACTGTTTTATGCCGCCCAGGCGCATACTAGCATCGGCAGCCATGGTTCCATCGCCGAGCCTACCACTTGTTCTGGCGATGTGGTGGGGAGATACATGCCTACGAGCACGTTAGGTTGAGTCAGGGGTCAACACTGCGCAATTCATCGAAAATCTATAAGTTTTTAGTGCATACACTAAGAAATCTTATTAGTACAGAAACATCTAACTACATTGTTTCTATTTCCCAGAGGTCTGGATCATGGTCAAAGTTGTGCGCCGGCTACTCGTATTTCCACCGTCTGACTTCGGCCCGACCGTCAGCAATACCCGACGCCAATGTTTCCCCGCGTCTTGCGATTCCCACAATACCCGACAACTTCAAACACCGATACTGCCAGTTGCTACGATGCTGAGATATGGAAACAAATGCCCCACAACAGCCTGCTGGTGCACAGGCAGTCGCCAACCAGGATGAGGACGAAGCAGCAAAGGTCAAAAGAACGCAAATCGCGTGTTTGAATTGCAGGAAAAGGAAGAGCCGGTGTTTGCTGTAAGTAACGAGTCTTCTTTGTTTGGTAGCACGCGTCGCCGATCTAAGTCTCACTCGCGTTTCGTTGGAGTTTGTTTTCGCAGGAATCTTCACCCACGTATCTGGAGTCTGATAGAATCATGCAGAGACTCGGACAACTCCATACCATGTCTGCGCTGCAAACGCGACAACCTCGACTGCGTGCTCGGTGGTAGTAATCGTGGTGGGCGACGCGAGCGGAAAAAGAAACGCGTCGATGCATCGCAAATACAATCTGAAGAGCAAACTCAACAGCAATTGCCAACACTCACTGCCACTGCCTCCGAAGGTAGCTTTCACACACTAGGCAACCTAGGGACTACATGGTCGCAAGATCCAGCCGTGCAACCGTTTGGTGAAGAACTCCAAGGAGACCCATCTGAATCTTCAAATACGGACGAACTTCCCTTTTCTAATCTGCAAAATCCATCAGATGCGCTGGATATATTGGCCAAGGTAGCTGGCGAATCTAGCTCCAATGATGAGACTATTGGCATGGGAACTGTCAGGGCGTCTTCTTTGAGCATGCCTGCACCACTGTCGTTTTCGTACCCTCTTCTTGATCGGGGCATACTGACAGTACACTCCCTATGCCAGCTGCTCGTTCGCTTCCAACAGCAGTACCATCCATTCTACCCCCTAGCTCCAGCTCACGCATTCGAAGCATCCCATCTTTCGGAAATGGTAAATAATGAAGCCCACCTACTTACAGCCATCCTTCTTATTGCGTCAAAAGACCTCGTCGACGAACCCCATATCTATGAGGCCTGTTCAGAGCATATGAAAAGTCTTGTCTCGACCTTGGCGGCTGGGGGAGATGCCGGCATTGAAGCAGTAGAAGCTTTACTTCTTCTAGCTGAATGGGCGCCATATACCCAGCGTGGTTCTGGAAAAGTCGGCAAAGGAGAAGAAGATAAGGAAAGTTGGATGCACGTCGGGCTTGCTTTGAGGATTGCCTACTTCCTCGCTCTAGATCGATATTCGTTCCGCTTCGTAGACCAGGGGAAGGATCAGGATCGTCATCGTAAGCGTCTCATTTGGACGGCTGCTTATGTGTCCGACCGACATATCAGCATCAGGATCGGGAAAGCGTTTTGGTCTCGAGGCCCTGGTCCCTTGACCACTCTGCGAAGAGAGGATTACCCATCGTTGATTCCGAAAAGTCCAAACGAGGAAGATCACGCTTCCATCTTCCAAGCCAACCTGGAGCTCACGCAGCTATTCAGTAACGTACACGATACATTGTATTCGAATCCCAGCTCGAGCTTTCGATCACACATGAGCGGTAGCTACATCAAGTTCATTGATGACTTTCGCTCCGCCATATATGGCTGGAAGAGTGTATGGGGTACATTAACATGTTCACCACCTCTGAAAGCATGTTTACTCATGTCTTACGACTACTTACGCCTATACACCAACGCCTTCGCTTTCCAAGCCACAGTCCTCCGTGCTCTTCCATCATCATCATCGACACCTGGCGATCCGACCGGCGGTGGTCCAGTCGGCAGTAGCATGGGTCGAATGCAAGTACCTCAACGCGTCTTCGTAAACAACGTCGGCGCAGTAGGCGACGCACGCTTCATCTACGAAGGCCTTGACGCCGCAAAAGCCATCCTCACCACCGTCAACAACTTCGTCGACCCCGAACGCTCACTCCGCTTCATGCCACTACGATACTACCTCTACCTCGTCTACGCCGGCGTTTTCCTCTACCGCGCGCGCTGCACCGGTGTGATCAGCGCAGACGAAGACCGCGCGATCCGCGCCATGATCAACGAAACAGTCGCGCGCCTCCAACGCAGCGCAGTCGGTTCCGGAACCGGTATCCAACACCCCGGCTCCCGCTACTCCCAGCTCCTCAAACTTCTCTGGGCCAAAGTACCGAAGAAAGATAAGGCAAATCGGTCTTCGTTCCGCCACCCGGGTACCCATATTGCTAGTACGCCAGTTGACCAGAATGGGTTTCCTCAACATCCCGTTATGGGCAGTCAGACTAGTCCACAGGCTAGTAGTACGGGCACGGGCGAGAGTCCGGCGCTGACGGAGCAGATGGGGGATTTTGGGTGGACGGATCTGGGGGCTGTAAATGAGTTTGCGGTACATGGGGGTGGGAGTAATGCGCCAAGTGATGAGGCTGCATTGTGGAATGGCTTTTTGCCACTTGATATGGGATGGAATGCGCAGGGTTTGGGGTTTGAGGGTATGAGTCTTGATGGTAATGAGTTGGGTATGCTGTTTTGAGTGTAAGAGTAGAATGGGCGGTGTTATGTATATTGAGCAGTTCTAAGATATACATTGTCTTTTCGAACCATATTTGCGCCTTGAAATATCGATTTTTTTTCAAGCTCGCAAACGTCTGCTTTCATACAATCGTCACCCCATGGCTCTTCACACTCTCTAGAGGATTTTCCTTTAGACGACAGGCTCCACTTGCTTCAGATGGCCCCTAGTGAAGCTAGATCGTAGAGAGAACAAGCTGAGATGATTATGGTATGTGTGGGCGTGGCTGATCGCAATTGAGTCACAATTGGGATGAGAACGCAAAATATTGCCGTCCCACTCACGCGCCATACCCATGTAGATAACATAAGTACCAACAAAAAAAGATACACGTGATAGCCAGTCCATGCCCTAGAAACCCGGCGGGTTAAGTCTCTGACTAACCCTCGTCCACTTCGGCACCTCTGCAACACTGTTAGCTCATCCCCACACACATACACCCGTCCCAGTCCCACATACTATGTATACCCTTCCGATACCTCTTCACTTTGCGATCGAAAACGGTGTATTTATCTTTTGGTAGCATCTCCTGCTCTGTGGGCATCTCCATCTTCCAGCGCTCCACTTTCTTCATGCTCTGGCCCATGCGCCGTAGTGCCGTGTCAAGAGTAGATACGACGGTGTCGACATGGCGGAGACGTTCGCGTTGACGGTACTTTTGGTGCCTGGATAGGCGCCAGGGTACTTTCCTGTGCAGGGGGTTAGTGATGGGTTATGGTTGTGGGTGCGATGGATTGGGGTTGGATTGGGAATTGGGGGGTGCGCACCATAGAAGACCGCCCGACAGCGGGTTTGTGAGGCGGAAGGGACCAAACATGACGGGAATTGGTGGCGCGGGGCGGAGGACGGATGCGCAATGTGAGCTATGTAGTCGCGATATTCGGTGGAAAAGAGACTCCCGCGGACTTTTCCTTGGCAGCGGGTGAGCTAGTCAGCGTGGGGAAGGGAGCTCGACCACCACCACCACCACCACCAAAGATCTCCACTCCACAACCTCTACGTCTAGGACTTTACCAATCGCAATCGCCTAAAACACAAGGTCTCTACGCACCACCATGTCCTACACCTTCTCCATCCTCTCCCCGCTTGACGTCCCGTTATTCACCCACGACTTCGGCACTTCCCGCAGCGGCGGCACAGGCGTCGCAAACTACACACCCTCGGAACGCGCCCTCGTGCCCTTCATCCTCCACTCCTCGCTCGATATCGTTGAAGAAGTCCAATGGGGTCCCTCCACTTCCAGCGGCTCGGCACCCATGTACCTTAAGCACATCGACAAGTACCAAAACTGCTTTGTATCCTGTTGGATTACAGGCGGCAACACGCGCTTCCTCCTACTCACACGGCCACGTGATGAAAGTCTAGGCTTGACCAGTGGAGGGGCTGGCGGCGCGAGGGGTAGTTTGGCGGGGGGCAGGGCGGCGTTGGGAGCGAGTGCTGGGTTGTATAATCCGACGAGTCCGGCGACGGAGGAGGCGGTTAAGAACTTCATGGTGGATGTTTATGAGGCGTGGGTTAAGACTATTATGAATCCTTTCTTCACGGTCGGGAATGGTGAGGTGGTCAAGAGTCCGGTGTTTAGGCAGAGAGTGGCTACTGCAGCGAAGAAATATTTGTGATGGCGTGGGATGGGAGGATAAAACGAAATTAGAATATTGGACGTGTATCTCTCTGCGCAGCAAGGGTCGTGTAGAATTTCTACCTGGGACATATGAGGACGTCGACCAGGTTGGACGAATAACCTCAACCGCCTCGAATTTCCAAGTCAAGGCAGACGGCTATAGAGAAAGGGTGCCATTGGGCTTAGTGCTGAAGACACGAAAGCCCGCGTTATTCCTTGCGAGGGCACTACCAGCTTCCGATTGAGCAAGCTGTGTACAACAGGATCATATTCCATGGCACATAGGCTGTATGCAGACCTGTCTTAGCGAAGCAGATAAGGCACAGCTGGCACACGTACGCCAACCCACATAGTCGAAGGCTACGTCAAACTCCGTCTCATAGCATACCCGACGGCCATGCAAGCTTTAAGACTTGCATACATTAAAAACCTTTGCTCTACACCGCCGCTTCGTACGATAAACCTTGTTATAGCTTAGATCGTGGGTTAATTGTATCTACATAATTACTAGTTGGCTTTCATACAGTCTTACACGTCTGCCTAGCATGTTTGTATCAAAACATCAACTATAAGCTACGCTAGCTTTACCTACCCCACCTATCTTAGACTTATAGTCACCGTGACTTTGATTGTTTCCTCTGCTTTGCGCTTTTCCCCATCCCTAATCTGCAGTCACCTAGTCTCCCACCTTCACATGCGCGATATCACTACTCCACTCTACCTCACCTTAAAACCTCAGAATCTCGCCTAGTATAGCACTTTGATCCTTTACCTCACCATCTGTCTCTATCCTCTTTTACCTTGTCGTCCATCTTACTTCCAATCGACCAGCTGAAAGCGGTAAGGCCGATCATGCCGCCGCCACGGCCACCACCGCCAGCAAACGCAAACGCAGCAAACACAGTTAACAATGCAACAAACGCAGCAAACACAGTTAGTAACACAAAAAACGTAGCAAACACGGCAGATATACAATGGCTCGCTTTCCGCCGCCGACACGACCAAGAGTTGAAGAAATTTCAGCAAGATGTAGGAGACAGAAGGAAGAAGTTCGAGGAGGACGTACAGAAATACAGACTGGCATTGCTGGGGAAACATAAGAGGGAGGAAGAAGAGTTCTGGAAGGATTCTAGTAAGAATGCGATGGAAGACAGAGCTGGCAGTGGTGATGGTACCAAGGCTAGTGCGAAGCATAGTACTGCAGGAAGGAAAATAGCTGAGAAGAAGAAGCCGGCGATAGAGAAAGAGAAAGACGCGAGAGCCGTGAAGCAGAAAACCGACAGACTTGATAAGAATGCTGGGGACAGGGCGTCGGCACAGACGGTAGTCAAAGACAAGAAAGCGCCGGTCGCTTATAGCGATCTGATGTCGGATAACGAAGAAGATGATGAAGACGAACTGGTCGAGATAAAGAAACCGAATACTGCATCTGTACCTCCGTCAGCCAATACCACCAAGAAGTCCGCTGCTCCAGCACCCTCAACCAAGCTGACTACCCAGCATACTTGTCAACGAGCGAGCCGGCTCGCTCAGCTCGCTCGGCTTGGACGTTTTGACCAAGCCGAATGAGCTGAGCGCGCAGTGCGCGCTTGCAAGCCGAGCGAGCTTAGGGATAGGCGCTCGCTCAGTCAGCTTGCTTAGCTTGGTTGGATGGAGCGGTTGGAAACTTGGGGCTGAAGGACTTGGTGGAGGGGCAATCTCACGATGATTTTTAGGTGTAGTGCGTAAGTTCGAAACCTAGTTATAACCTAAAATACACTCTTTTTTGCTATATTTCTAGCAAATAAGCTACTAAATTTCCGGCTAACGGCCTGGCAACAATATTCTCCTTCTGCGACACTTCACTTACTACTTATCACCCACCACACTCACCTATACTCCACCAACGCGTCTCTATTTGCAGCTATTATCTACCTCGCCGTTGCTATAATGCCAGCAAAAAGAACATGCGTTAATGCTCTAGAAATCGCGACAACTTCGAAGCGCCCTAGAGTCGCAGCGCGTCATCGCGGGACTGCCAGCCAACCTGTACTAGTCGATACTCAGCCATTCTCACCATCTCCACCTCCTCCACCGCTGTCGCCGCGTCAAGCTCTCGTTGCCGCGCCACAAGCACCAAATTTTGAAGCGACCCTCCGAGAGTCGCGCGCCGAAGAGACGATCATCCCACCACCTAAGGGCAGCGAGCATGCCACTGTTGCAGCTTCAGGAGCAGCTAGCGAGGCTGTCGACAAGGGTTTCGTATAGGTAGAGGACAAATACGACGGCTTTAATTAGAGTCGCTACCCAAAGCACTGCAAGCCGCCCACATCACTTTCGAACCGAGCAAGCTGGGTATACAGCCATGGCTATCGCATCGCCTTGCGCAGCAACGTCGCAAAAGTTACGTGGATCTGCCACTATTGCTATAAGCACAAGTTCACTACTGTTGGCCGTGGCATACATAACGTCTCGCAGTCTCCATCAGCGCCAGCACGTCATCTCGGAGAAGACAAGAAAGTTCATGGCTTGAAGCCTCCAAGTAAGCGCACTACCGTCGCTCCTCGGAAAGAAACTCTCCTCGAACGCGCCCTTCAGAAGGGCTGCTCTTAGGCTGTTGCCAACGAGCTTACCAACTTCAATATACAAGAGTTTAGGCTTGCGGCCGTTACCTAGCTCGTCGAAAACAACCTCCCACTCTCACAATTCGAATCATCGTCTTTTCGCAATATGATATAATTAGCTAGCGTAGAGGCAGAACGAGCCTTGTGGGCATCTTATAACAGCGTCTCACGATACGTTATACGCCTGTACAACTACCTGTTACTAAAGGTTATCGCAAGCCTTTCAGAATCAATGAGCAAAGTCTATGTAAGCTTTGACGGATGGACGACAAAAGGTGGCAAGCGCGGTTACTTAGGTATCGTCGCCCACTACGTTGATAGCTCTGGCGAGCTCAGGGACTTGCCTATTGCGCTCCCACAACTGACAGGTGCCTACACCGGCGAGGCTATGGCTGAGGTCGTGATGGCAATATTCAAGCAGTTCGAAATCACTGTGGGCAAGCTCGGTTACTTCGTCCTCGACAACGCACATAACAACAACACCACGATTAACACTCTCGCCTTGCAGATAGGCTTTAGCGCTACTGAGCGTCGCCTTCGCTGCGGTCCTTATACGCTTAATCTCATTGGCCAGATGCTACTCTGGGGTGAGGAGAAAGAGTCCTACGACAACGAGGAGACTGAGCGCGTGAACGAAGCTGAGAATATGGCTACTTGGCGAGGCGATGGACCATTAGGAGTGCTTGTCGCGGTTATTAACTACATCAAAACACCACAACAGTACGCTCTTTTTGAGAAGTATCAGAAGCTCGCTATTAGGGACCAGCCTGTCAACGCGCCAACAGAACAGCACAAAATCAAGGAGCCCGTTAAGCTAGTTGTTACTCGCTATAACTCTTACGTTTCGTGTTTTAAGCGCGCTGTTGAGTTGTAATTAGCGGTTAATAGGTACGCCAACTACCATATTTAGAAGATTGAAACTGAAGACGCGTACGCCCGAAGTCGTAACAACAAGCTGCCTGCAGCGCCGGATTGGATGAGGTCTGATGGGATCAATGCCCATGACTGGCAGGTGATTGCTGAGTATATTGATGTGCTTAGGCCACTAAAACAAGCTACAAAACGGCTTGAAGGCCGCGGCAAAAGCGGTGCTTTTGGAGCAATCGCTGAGGTTATTCTAGTATTTGAATACTTACTTGGAGTCTATGAGGACCGCTTGCAAAGCTATGAAGACGTCATTTATGATGAGCATACAGAGTCACCCGAAGACCACCTTGCTATCAACCTCCGCGCTGCCCTAGTTAAAGCCCGCGAGTACTACAACAAGCTCGACCTCTCGCCAGCTTACTATGCTGCTATAATCCTTCATCCTCGCTACAAAAGCTACCTTGACGCAGCGTGGGCGGATAAGCCTGATTGGCTAGAGAGCAGCAACCGCAAGTTTCAACATTTGTGGGCGGAGTACAAAAGCTTACCGAAGCCGCGCTTACGCTCTAAAGTTAGGCACAATGATATAGAAGACGCTATTAACAGCTTTATTAAGCCGGCAGGGCTTACGGAGAACGAGGAGGATGAATATGAGGCTTAGAAACGCAGCGAACCGATCGCTAGCGAGGGCGTCGACCCTATAAAATACTGGGTAGGACTCCGCGATCGCTACCCCAGCCTTAGCAAATTTGCTATCGACATGCTATCAATCCCAGGCTCAAGCTGTGAGTGTGAGCGCTTATTCAGCGAGCTGGGTGACCTCCTCGAGCCCCGTCGGCGCAGCATTTCTCCGCAACTTCTAGCAGCAATACAGTGCGATCGACGATGGATAAGAGCTGGATTTGGCAGTGGTGAGGTGCCTGTAAAGGAGGCTATCAGCGATGAGGAGATGGACGCGAAATACGGTGTACATAAGTGGGATATTAGCTGAGAAACTCAACACCAAGGTTTCTATATAACTTTCCTAATCGGGACTGAGCCCATCAAGCCGAGCGAGCTGACAGCCCTGTTTCAGCCAATCCGAGCGAGCCGAGCGAGCTGCTGGCCTCCGCTCAATTGGCTGAGCAAGCCAATTGGCTGAGCTCGCTCAGCTTGCTCATTGACATCTGTGC